GTGTCTGGGACTTTATTTTCATGGGACTTAGATGGCTCTGCCCCTCCAGCCTTGCTGCCTGCCATATACATCTTTTTGTTGGGCTGGCTTTATTCTCTGTGTACAGCTTTCCTTGATAGATGTCTCATGTTTCTGCACTCTCCAATATCTTGGGTTTTTTCCACTGCATCCCACACGTCATTTTCACAGCTTCATGCAATGGCTTTTCAAAGCCTTTTGTCCTCTCAACACTTGTAGTAATGGCTTCAGCACTACCACACACTGTCTGACTTTGGTGGCTCTCTGAAACTGCAGGGGAAGAATCCACCATTTCCTCGCTATTGTGTCTTTCATGCTTCTAAAGCCAGTACCCAGTGGAAGACACTGCCAATCTTGACTGCCGGCTTGAGATGGACCCTCATCCCTTTGAATCACACCTGCAGCAGCCCTTGTACATTGCTGTCTTCCTGAAGCAGAAAACTCTAGGCTGCTAGTTGGAAGCTTAGCTAGGTGGGATATTGCCCTGAGGGGGTCTTTCCCATTGTGTTAGTGAAGGGCAGGGGCTTCTCCTTAACTATATTAGTTCCCTTAGCAAGCACATCCTCTTTCGGCACTGGCTTTGGCTGTAACATTAAACTTCTTAGTGCTCTCTTCTCTCTAAACTGCAATTTTTAATTTTTTTTCTGTCCCACTTGTTCTTTTTCTTTGTAGACCTGAACAAGAGTTATTAGTAACAACCATGCCACAAATTAACCTTCCTAGAGTCTATGGGTTGTTAGTTGATTTCCCCAAACTCTACAAATTTATCAAAAATCATTGAAATTAAACATTTTAAATAAGTACATTAAAAAAGATTTGTTTATTATATTATTACGTATACAGTGTTCTGCCTGTATGTATCCCTGCAGGCCAGAAGAGAGCACCAGATCTCATTACAGATGGTTGTGAGCTACCATGTGATGGCTGGGAATTGAACTCAGGACCTTTGGAAGAGCAGGCAGTGCTCTTAACTCTCTCCAGCCCAAAATGAGCACTTTTATGATTTATAAATTATACCTCAATAAAACTGTTATAAAAATTTTCCTCCCACTAGGAGTGGTAGCTCATGCCTTTAATCCCAGCACTTGGTAGGCAGAGACAAAGAAACAAAAAGATGTCTGAGTTCAAGACCAGTCTGGGAGCTGGAGAGATTGCTCAGTGGTTAAAAGCACTGGCTAAGAAACTGGAGGCAGCCTTGATGCCCCTCAACTGAAGAATGGATACAGAAATGTGGTACATTTACACAATGGAGTACTACTCAGCAGAAAAAAACAATGGAATCTTAAATTTTGCAGGAAAATGGATGGAACTCGAAGAAACCATTCTGAACAAGGTAACCCAATCACAAAAAGACAAACATGATATGCACTCACTCATATGTGGACATGCTCTATGATACATAGCAGTGACCGTGCTTTATCAGAGCTGTTTTTAATGATGTTGCTCAGAATGGTTTCCTTCCAGATGATGATTGAGAAGCTAATTAAAAAAAAAAATGGTGCCAGGTACCACAAGAGTAACAGAACTGTGCTGTTTTTCTGGGATTTTGTTTTTTACTTTTTTTTTTTTTAATGGAGAGTGCTGGATGTCTCTACAATTTTGTTCAAATGACTGCAGAACCTGGAAACGCTGTTGCTGCTATTGATGCATAACATACTGCCATTATTGATATATATATAATTTGAATTTTTGGAAACTTTAACTGTTCTGTCAACTTTGAAAAAAAGTATCCCAGTTTACTGTGTTGAGTTGGCATTGTACAAAAATTAACAGCCATATTGGTCTAGAAATGTTGAACTTAATTTTCTCCCATTTGTACAGAGGTAATGCACTGTATTAAATATGTAAGGTCTTAAAAAAAAAAAAAGGAGGGATTTTGAGAGTCCATCCCTTGAGAAGGGATGCTCTCTTGATCTGGACACATGGAGTAGGGTCTAAATTTGAACAAAAAAAAAAAAAAAAAAAAGAGCACTGAATATTCTTGTTTTTCCAGAGGACCCAGGTTCAATTCCCAGCACCCTCATGGCAGCTCACAACTGTCTATAACTCCAGCTCCAGGGGATCTAGAATCCTCACACAGACATGCAGGCAAAACACCAATACACATAAAATATAAAATATTTTAAAAAGACCAGTCTGGGGGGCTGGAGAGATGGCTCAGCGGTTAAGAGCACTGACTGTTCTTCCAGAGGTCCTGAGTTCAATTCCCAGCAACCACATGGTGGCTCACAACCACCTTGAATGAGATCTGGTACCCTCTGCTGGCATGCGGGCAGAAGACTGTATACTAAATAAATAAAAATTCTTAAAAAAAAAAAAAAAAAAGACCAGTCTGGTCTACATAGTGAACTCCTGACCACCCAGGGCTACACAGTGAGACCCTGTTTCAAACCACTCTCCACCCCCCCCCCCAAAAAAAATTTCCCCCACACATTTTAGTCTTACATAAAGAAAAACAAAAGAAATTGTGGACTAAGTTGATTTATTGTGTCCCCCTTTAAAACTGACTATCTTGGGTGTTTTGCTCCACTATTATTATTGTAGGCCTGTGTCAATGTGCATGTGCAGGGCACAGGACATCTTTGTGGAGTCAGTTCTCTCCTGCTACCTCCATGAGTTCTGGGGATTGAACTGGAGTTGTCAGGCTTGGTGGAAAAGCACCTTTCCCCTCTCAGCTATTTTGCTGTGCCTGTTTTGTCTTTTGAAATAGGTCTTGCCAAGTTGCTGGAGATCTGTTTGATGGAAAGAAAGGGCTCTGACTTTCACAAGAACAGCATGGAATGCATCCCTGCCACACACAAGATAAGTAAGTTAAAAAAAGGAGTCCTACAACATTCTCACCTCAATGATCTCCTCCCCCTTTGGTGACCACATCCTCTTCTATATATTTATTATCTGGAGTGAAACACTAATATGACAACCTTATTCAAATGTGAGTCACTGCTCACTTATCAGAGAGATAATGCAGAGATTTCATTTTGGGGGCCATATTGCTGCCACATTATTATTATTATTATTATTATTATTATTATTATTATTTGGTCTTTCAAGACAGGGTTTCTCTGTGGCTTTAGGATGCTGTCATGGAACTAGCTATTGTAGACCAGGCTGATCTTGAACTCACAGAGATCTGCCTGCCTCTGCCTCTGCCTCCCGAGTGCTGGGATTAAAGGTGTGTGCCACCACTGCCAGGCACTGCCACTTATTATTAGTGTGTTCTCTGCTGAGTTATTTTGTTTCCAAGCTGCCTTTTTCTCATTTAAAAATGGAGTCATTAACACCCACCTACCTCATAGGTTGTTGTGATATGCGAATGAATTCAGGTAAACATTTGGGACACTGTCCAGCACATGCAAACTGAAGATCAACACTAACTCTACATGCAGGACTAGGGTTCCTTTGCTGCCATGTGTCCAGAGTTGCCTAGCTCTTTATGCTTAGAGTTTGATTAGAGACTCTAAACCACAGTCTCATTGGACTCTTTGCTCTTAACTCCTTTGCCCTACTGCCATTATACACCTAAAATTAGCTATTGCTAATTTTATTATGTTTATTTCCCTCTACATTTAAGGTGAAAATTGCAATATCCTTTACTCATTCACCAATGAATGTTAAAACTAAATACCTCAGTGAGATTCAAGTCATTGTGCTAGGTTCCTATCATAATCATTTGTTTCTTTGGATAAGGTTTCTAATTTAAGCTAAAAATAAATGATCTTGAAATTCATTAATTTGTTGTTGGGAAATGAGAAAAATGCTTCTAAATAATGAAAATAGCATTTCAAAGATAATTGAGAGCAAAACACTGAAACACAGGCTGCCTCAAGGCTACCAGTTCACACTGCTGCCTCCAGGCTACCAACCCATCAATTCACACTACCATTTCAAGGCTATCAGCTCACACTGTAGTCTCAAGGCTACCAGCTGACAAGTGTACACTCACAACATTCAGTGGCTTATTGAAGGAGAGAACCAAATTCTGCAAGCTCTCTTTCGACCTTCACACTTACACTGTGGCAAATGCATGCGTACTGCCACCCCCACACGAATTTAAAACAAAAAGGTTCAAATGTGGAATGAGGAGAATGAGCAAAGTAGCCAGCTTAAGGTAGAGAGCAGGGTTAGTTATTCCAACCTACCCACCAGCATCATGTCCTCAAGTTTTCTAAACATTACTGAAGTCAGCATCTATAAACAGTGCATTGCTTAGTTTGCTATTTTGGATATCAAGCTTTAAATGACTCCTTAAGTTTTGCTTTGTTGTTGTTGATTTTCAAGACAGAGTCTCACTACATAGCCCTGACTGTTGTAAAACTCAGTATGTAGACCAGGATGGCTTTGAGCTCACAGAGATCTGCAGGCCTCTGCCTCCTAAGTGCACCTAGTCTCAATTTTTCTTTTCCATGGGATTGAATAATAATTGGTTATGGAGATTACTTTCTCCTCAGGATACCCTCACCCCCCTCCTTTTTTTTTTGTCAACTTGGCACAAAATAGAATTATCTGTGAAAAGGGAACCACATTTGAGAAAATGTTTCTATGAGATTGGCCTGTAGAGAAGCCTGTGGAACATTTTCTTAATTAGTGATTAATGTGGGAGGGCAAAGCACATTGTGGGTGATGCCATCTCTGGCCAGGTGCTTTCTTATAGATCCCAGGAAACTATAAGAAAGCAGGCTGAGTAAGCCATGAAGAGCAAGCCAGTAAGCAGCAACCCCCATGGCTTTTGCATCAGCTCCTGCCTCCAGGTTCCTGTCCTGACTTCCCTCTGTGATGGACTGTGCTGTGGAAGTATAAGCCACAGTTGCTTTTGGTTATGGTTTTTTCTCATAGCAACAGAAACCTTAACTAAGAAGTAAGACAAAACTCTAAATTTAGTCTTCAAATGTCAAGAATAAGATGATTACACAGGGAATCAAAGCAGTTAAATTTCAGATAGCAGACACTGGCGTTGGCCTCATGACACAAAGATGCACAAAACATGAATGATACCAAAGAATTTATTGTAAATGTCATGGCAAATACACCAAGCATCATCATCATTATAAAGGAACTAGAAAAGTCCATGTTGAAAGTATGTGCTTCCCCTCCCCCCCACCATCTTCAGGTTAATGGCTAGTACCAACGTTTTAGGTAATGAAATACTTAATGGGATGGTTGATCCTCACATAATTTCAGGACTGTGTCTTCATCTTAACTTTAAAAGCAGTTTACCATGGATTTCAGCATCAATTATTCTCTGTCTTTATCAATTCCGTAATGATTTGTAGAATCTTGTCATCTGAGGGAATGGAAAAATAAATCAAAACATCTATGAAAACATGTAACTCTGGCTAATTTTCTAATGCATATATGTGTAAACAAAAGGTGTACTTCATTATAAGCCTTTCTTAAATTAGACTACAACACTAGTAATGTACACTATGATACCAGAGATGTCCCAAAAAGTCCAAACTGTTATGTAAATGATTATTAAGGTTGTCTTATGCCTACTTCAAAAAGTTAATATTTTGTCAAAAGAAGTTAATATTTGAGTACTTATAGGCAAAGGCCCAAAATAATGAGATACAAGTAGTTTGGTTTTTTTTGTTTTGTTTTGTTTTGTTTTTGAGACAAGGTCTATGTTGTAGCCCATTCTGGGCTGAAACTCATGATCCCCTTGTTTCAACTTCCCCAGTGCTGGGATTACAGATATGTACCAAGCCCAGCCTGTTATTTCTATAACTAACTAGGTCTTTATAAATTCCTTTAAGAGGGCTGGAGAGATAGTTCAGCTGTTAAAGGCTAGGCTCACAACCAAAAATAAATTCCTTCAAGAACCTCCTCATTTGTTCCCTCAGCTGAAATACACTGGAGGCTTCATTGATTCTCCCCTGTTTTGCAGTGTGATGGGATTTTTACCAAACAGTCAAAGGTGGCAATGATTTTAATCTCTCCAGCTTGGACCAAAGAAACAAAAATCCTAAGAGGGAAGTGCTCCTAGAGAGGTGTCAATGGGGAAGTGACAAGCTTATCTACTGACAGAGAGGTGACATTATTTGCTAAGGTGGGTTCATTAACAGCCACTCTTGTTTAAACAGCTCTGAATCTTGACTTCCTGTGAATCTCATAGCCACTGTCTTAGAAAGCTGTTGTAGGGCTGCAAGACTGACACCCTACATTTATACTAGGTTCCACATTCCTGGTCACAGTCATGGGACTTTTGACCTGGGCCTGTGGCCTGCCTCTCAGGTGCTCCAGAGCTAGAATGGTATTAAAGAAAGAAAGGATAAAGTAGAAATGGGAGGGGGAGAGGAGGCCCCTTGTTGGAATTGGACAATGTTATCTAAAAGGAGAGTAGAGAGGACAAGAAAGCATGAAGGTAACCAGACACTTCTTCAAGAGTGAGTCCCTGTCACAGCATTTCTTCATAGTGAAGCCACAAGGAAAAATCACTAATGTGTCACCCTCCTTCCCAATAAGCACCGAACACACAGATATTTTTTTAACATTATTAAAGCAGAAAAGCCAAACTTCAGTGCTTATGCTGCAATGCCAGGGAGGACTAGAGCAGCAACTAGAAATATAGTTCTAAAACTGTAATCAAGAGAAAACTACTGGCTTACAGAATCCACGTCTGTCAAGGAGCTTGTTAAATCAAAGCCTGAGGATTCAACCAACTAAATCCTAAATCCGGGACATCTTAGGGGTTTATTACATAATTAGCTGCATTTAAAAAAGGCCTATGTTAGGAGAGGGGAAGTGTGAACAGAAATAAAACACATCACAAGTCTCTGCAGAGAAGTCAGTATACCCAGGGCAGGGCACTGAGTCTTGCATTATTTTTACAGTTGTTAGAAAGGCAGTGGAGATTTGTCAAGTTAGGGGAGTACTGTAGCATGCCATCTACAAACCAAGTGTTTATTTCAGGCTTCTGCTGAAGGTTAATATATTTACTTACACCCACTCATAATTGTGTATGTATGAGAAATGCAACATGAACTCCTAATTGTGTACATGTGAGAAATACATGACAGGGATAACAGATATATGCCAATAAGTAGCAAGATTTATTTTTCTCTGTGAAATGGACAGTTTAGAAGTAAAGTTAGGAAGGCCAGGAGTAAAGATTTCAAGAGAATAAGCTGCCTGAGTTGAAAAAAATTTAGCATAAGTAGATTTTATTAATAATTACATCAAAATTATGCCTTTAGTGTGCTATAGGGTATTCCAGTGTTAAATCACATATCTAGAATCAATCAGTTTTTAAAAAAGTTTTAAAAATATATTATATATGTATTATCTGTCTATCACATGTCTATACACAAAGATATTATCTTCTAAATGTATACTATGTACAAATATATACCTTCTTTTACCTGTATCACAATAAAACACTTACTTTCAAGGGACATCTTTGGATTTTCAAGTTTTTTTCTTAAAACAGAATCAATGAGAACTCTTAGCTGCTTAAAAATAACAGCTATTTTTACTGGGGCCTGTTGAAAGATGTCATGTTGGACAAAGTTAATCAGGGGCATTGGCATGTGTTTACATAAATCAATCTAAGCATATGTACCCTGTAATTTAAACGACTTAGGACACCAGGATTTGCCATAAAAAACAATGGGGAAAATATGCTCAAATTACTCAAGCTACCCTGGGAGCTCAGCTACACAGTTTGCTTGTCTAGAGTGTGGTAGCTCCTGCCATAATAAAGCAACTTACTCCACAAATTCTTTGCTTCTCTTTATGTAAGACTCAAAGACTAAAATGTTTGGGGGAAACTTTTTGGGACGGGGGATGGTGGAAGTGGAGAGTAGTTTGAAACAGGAACTCACAATGTAGCCCTAGCTGGCCAGGAGTTCACTATGTAGACCAGGCTGGTCTTGAACTCTTATCTTTCTGCCTCTGCCTCTCTGCCTCCCCAGTGCTGGGAAAAAAGGTGTGAGCTACCACACCTGCTGGGAGGCAAAACTTATAACAGTTTTATTGAGGTATAATTTATAAATCATAAAAGTGCTTATTTTAAGTGCTTAATTTCAATGATTAGGTAAATTTCTAGAGTTTTTACCAGTATCACTACAGCCAATTTTTAGAGCATCTCTACCACTCCAATTTCTGTGCATGAAATTCAGTCCTTTGGCTCTAGACACACAGCTATAATTAATGGGATGTGTGAGAGCTGCTTTACACCTGTCAATGTTGATGGGGCTACAAAAGGGGGAAAAAAAAAAGCTTACCTCTACAAATAAGCATAGATTGGCTTACTTTATCCAGAGAAAAACTTTCCACATGTTAAAAATTGTGAATCTGTTTGGTTTTTGTATGGAAGGGCCAAAAAAATGTAGTGGAATAAGCCTGAGTTTGGGGAATCAACAACCAACCAACCCATAGAAAGGTTAGTTTCTCTCTACATCGTCATTGTCTCAAAACGAAGCTATCTTTTGGGACAATTCACATAAAATTGGTACCAATATACCTTGCATGTTGCAATTATAAGGATTATCAATAAATATGTTCAGAGTTAACACATTTAAACCTATACATTTACAATAAGATGAAGTTTTCTGTAAACCACACAGGAAAATATTATGCAAATTTCAATAAAAACTTTAAATCTACCTCAATGATACTGGAATTGGAATATTTTCATGTACTCAGTAAAATTATCTGGACAGAATACCTGAAAATAGATCCAGCCATCCACAGACAGAAGCCGTTCTCGGTGTTGAACTTCTATGTCGCCTCCAAAAAGCAAGACTGGAAAAGGGGTTATGAGGGTAGTTTCCCTCAGATAGACTCTGGCATATCTCACCTACAAGACAAAGGGGAACACTTCATAGTCTAAAGATAAAAGAATTCATCTAGCTATTTTTTCATGTATGTATTTTCTTTACAAATTCAGTAGAATAATTATATACATTTACATAATCATATTCCTCCACCCGACCTCCCCTATTTAGAAGTGAAGCACACATCCTCATTTCCTTTCTGAGACAACCAACTTCTACTGAAACACTCTGGGAACAGACAGATTATTAACCAATGTCCATTTGCTATAACTGTCTCTGTATTCCAAGTAGGAAGGGCAAGAGCCAGGGGAGAAATCTTACTATCTTTTATTTACGGGAGAGAAATATTTTGGGTTTTTTATGTTTGGTTTGGTTTGGTTTGCTTTTTCTTGATAACTGCATCTGGATTTCAAATGTGAACAAAATAATAGCTCTATTTGAGAAAAACAAAACAAAACAAAACAAAACAAAAACAAAACACCAGGATGTGAGGATGCTCTAGATCTATACACAGGCATTTGAGAATGAGGCGTTTACCTTCTCCTGGTATAAGAGCCACCCGTAAGTTTGTAAGTCTCTGTTTACTGAGGACGGGTGGACTTGTGCTTTGCCTTGGGCTGTCTCCACCATGCAAGCCAGTTTTTCTGTAACATCCACCGACTTTGTGTACATTATCTTCCCCACACTGTCATACAGGCCAGCGGCCAGTACAGCTTTAAGAAGGGCAATATCTTGAAAAGAGAGCGTCTGTGAGGCTTTCTTTCCTTCCCAGCTAGTAGATGTTGTAGAAGATGAAAATCCTGCTGCCTTAACCAACTTCATTAGTTCCTGCTTCACATCCTAGATTTTATGTTAAAATAAGACATAATTATAATTGATTAAAGTAGGAAATTACCAAACAGCTTTGAAATGTATAGTACTGTTTCCTACAAAAATAGGATGCCAAAATATCGTTTAGTTGGCTACGGCCAAAAGCTTGAGGTGAAGGGTTAGAAGTTAGCTGGTCTTTGATGGACTTTAATGTCATAAAATATAAGTCTCTGGGAGCAACATATTTGCTGACTATATTTTCACTCACACTGACTTACATTCAACCTTCCTTTAACAATTTATTTGATTTGTTTTCAGTCAGTGGGGATAACACTAGGAAGAATTGCAGGGGAATCCTGACAGGCACCTTCTTTACTTGTCTCTAGAAATTTCTTCCTTAAGAATTCAGACAAATGTTTACAGATACTTAATAAAACTGCAGCTTAAGATGCTTTGCCCCTATGAGTGCCAATCAGCAGAACAAGCCAGGAAGGGCAGTGCTTTCCCAAGCACAGGCTGCACTGCAGGAGCCACAGGTGGCATTTACACTGGGCTAGCCTTCAGGTTTGTTCTAGAGCTTAGGCTGCCTCCAGGGGAGGAAAGACAGCTGCTACAACCGTGGAGGAGCAGAGCTGACAGAGATCCAATCCTTGAAGCTCAGGGTGTGAAGACAAAACTGGGAGAAGGAAAGGTGTGGGAGGCCATTTAGAGGTTGTGGACATTTAAAAGGGGAAAGGGAAAAAGAAGTTAATTTGAAAAAATAGCCACCTGTGGGCTAACTATCTGGGATGTCCACATACTAAACCTCAACCAGCTCTCAAGTGGTTACTTCCAGAATTCAAGAACCCCTACAAAACAAGCTGATTTCTTAAAAAAAAAAAAAAAAAAAAAGGAAGGAAGGAAGGAAGGAAGGAAGGAAGGAAGGAAATCACAAATAGGAAAAAAAGTTGATTAACTGTAGATTATGAGACTTAGGGGACCTATCAACCAAATCTTGTGTGGATCATGATTTGAACTAGCTATGACAAAATTAGGAAGTGACTAAGGATATTAAATGCTGTATGATATGGTTTGTTTGCTTGAAAGGTGTGTCAAAGAAAAAAATGAGGCCTATACTTTAGAGATACATAATAATTTAGACTCTGTATTTACTTAAAAAGTAGTCTACAGGGCAGGCAGTAAAGTAAGGGGAATATAAATAAAACAATATTAACCACATGTTGCTAATTAATGGATGTGGGAAAAATGGGAGAACTGGAGCTGGAGTTCATGACAGTATTTCATTTTCTTTTTTTTTTGTTTGTTTTTTGTTTTTTTCAAGACAGGGTTTTTCTGTGTAGTTTTACAGCCTGTCCTGGAACTCACTCTGTAGATCAGGCTAGGCTTAAACTCACAGAGATCCACCTGCCTCTGCCTCCCGAGTGCTGGGATTAAAGGCGTGAGCCACCACTGCCTGGCTTCATTTACTTTTTTATATTCTGAATTTTTCCAGGATTAAGCAAGATAATAGTTGGGTACCAGAGTTGGAAAGAACTGTAGATAATACCCTTTGAGACATTAAAAAAAAAAAAAAAAAAAAAAAAAAAAAAAAAATAAAACCCCCAAAAAAAAAAAAACCCCTTAAAAAAAAAAAAAAAAAAAAAAAAAAAAAAAAAAACTAAAAAGTTAACTATGTATTCCCAAGCTAGTGTTATTTCTAAGAAACCATGCTGTCTCTCTTTATAAAAACCATTTCCTGAACACATTATGATTGCTAAAAGCAGTAGTAAGAATTACCTCTAGTGTCAACAGCGATGTTCTATTGAGAAAGTTTCTCTGGCAATATGTGATTTCAGAACGGTAGCCTCCTTCTTGCTTTGCTTTCTTCCACCTAGATCAATGTGTCAATAGATAAGGTCCACCACAACTCCTTCCAAGCTCTTTTTCAGACTACAGTAAGGTTTAATAAAATTATGATCTGTTATGAAGTAGGGGTCTTGTTTACTGTAGCAACTACATTTATATGTGATTTTTAATTGCAGCAATTTTAAGTATAAGAGAAATTACTAAATTGACTCAAATTTGAGAAATATACATATATAATAACAAGAACTATGTTGTTCTTTTCTTCTTTTTTTTTTTTTTGGTTTTGATACAGGGTTTCTTTGGGTGTTCTGTAACTCAATCTGTAAACTCAGAGATCTGCCTGCCTCTGCCTCCCGAGTGCTGGGATTAAAAGTGTACACCACCACCTCTAGCCAAGAATGTTGTTCTTAAATGAGTCTCCAATATAATTCTATCTTGACAGATTAAACCATGAAGAACAAATTTAACTGTTGAAAGCATAGTTTTAACAACAAAGATACATTTCTAATAAAGGTGGACCATCTCCAACCCCTGGCTTATTGATAGCAACCAGGTTATTTCTTTACCCTAGATATGCATTGTAGATTGTGAGGTGGTCTGAATCCGCCACAGCCAAAGATGACTTTGCAAGGTCTGCTTCATCTTTCCGACCAATTGGTGTGATAAAAGGAGACTTCTCCGTCATAACTGCCGCTAGTGTTGCCTGCCCATAAATATAATTTATCACTAAAGAGGTTGTTAAAAAAATAAATCATAAAAGTCACAATCAAGTTATCCATTTATTTTCAATGCATTTAACATTGCTAACTTACAATTTAATAACTTTAGCTTAGTTCCTTTCATAGAATTCAGAAAACCTATTTCTTTATCTTTAGAACATCTCTGTGATTTAAGGTAGTACCAGAATCAGAGAGAAGAACTGGAAAGTGTCCAAACGATCACAGTCTGCTATTTAGTTATAGGCAATCTCAAAACTATAGCTTAGTACTTAGACTTCTAGACTGCCAGTTTTCTTTGGCTACAATGCTTTCTGTGGTTGAGGAGGGCCTGCTCCAAATGCTGATTGTGTGGTACCTGCATGTTAGATTTCTCAGCTGCCATAATGTGATAAATAAATTACTGTTGGTTATAGATGAACAACAACCACCACCAAGTTTTTGGCTTGTGTTATGGCTCAGTGCTTACCTAGCAAGCATGAGGCTCTGGGGTCAATCCTCACATTATTTTTAAAAACATGTAAGGGGGGCCATACAACCATCTACTTGTTGCAAGTTCTCAGAAAACTATAATAGCATATGGTGCTTTTTGAATTTAGAAAATTCTAGAAACCACCCCAACTCTCTCCCAAGAGCCTTCAGCTTCTGTTTTGCTATTACTGCAGTGGGGACTGAACCTACTGAGACATGAATGCTCGGCAAGCTCCATGTCTCTGAGCCACACCCCAGCCCCACATTCACTTCTAACACCAGAGAAAAGGAGGCAAGAGTAAGGAACCCCATTTTCTCTGTCTGGAACAGCCTTCATCTGTCACCACTTGATAAAGAAGGAAGGGACTACAAGACCACATGCTCAGAGAGACTGATAAATGGACAGAACTTATTTCTGAAATAAACTGAGAAAATAAACTCTGAGAATTACTGGCTTAGAAAGAGAATTCAGATAAAGGAAGTTTTCCATTCTATTAAAGTCAATGGTGTCAACAACTTCCTACAAATTATTATGTATTCAATTAAATAAATGTTTCAGATAGGTTACTTGATGGCAACAACCTAGGCAAGCCAAAAATCACATAACAGTATTTTTCTTTTCTTTTTATTTGTGTTTTTTTTCAAGACATAGTCTCACTATGTAGACCAGACTGGCCTGGAACTCATAGAGAACTGCCTGCCTCTGCCACCTGATTGCTGGGATTAAAGGCGTGAGCCACTATCCCTGGTTATAGTATTTTCCTATATGTAAGTAAATGAAGAAATAGATTTTAAATATATTTTTATATACAGTTAAATATATGTAAAAATTCTCATCAGATATTCAGGCACCTAGGTTTTAATGGTAGCGCAGCCATTGTGTTTTACTATGAAATTAAAGTTTAAGGGGTTGGAGAGATGGCTCAGTGGTTAAGAGCACTGGCTGCTCTTCCAGAGGATCCTGATTCAATTCCCAACACCCACATGGCAGTTCACAGTTGTCTGTAACTACAGTTCCAGGGGATCCAACATCCTCATATAGACAAAACTCCAATACACATAAAATAAAAATTAAATAAATTAAAAAAAAAAGAAATTAAAGTTTAAGCCCAGCAGAGGTGGCCTTTAATTCCAGCACTCAGGAGGCAGAGACAGGCAAATCTCTAAGTTCGAGGCCAGCCTGGTCTACAGAGTAAGTTCTAGGATAGCCAAGCTTACACAGAAAAACCTTGTCTTGAAAAACATCAAAAACAAAATTAACATTTAAACTTCAACCCTTAATAATTTCCCAACCAACTGGCAGTAAAGTGAAGTAATGGCAGTATTTTACTCACCACTGGGTCGAGACAGCCAAATATGGCTCCAAAAATGAGCATCTTGCCAATTTTGACATTGACAGGCAAAGCAGCAAGGTGCTGGCCCAGTGGAGTCAGTTTGGGCTCATTTAGTTCACAGGCTCCAATTTTCCTGAGTAAGTTCATTGCATTGCTGATTACTTGAAGCTGAGGAGGATCTAAGGCTTTGGAAAGAAAGTCTTCAGGAGAGCCAAGATCACATTTCTGCAGAATGGAAGAGACCAGAAGGAATCAGTGCTACCAAGAGGTACCACTGGAACCAAAGTCCAAATTCACCAAGACCTTGGGCAAAGATGGTAAATGGTAAAGGCCATCCTAGGAGGTGAGCACAGCCAGATGTTCAGCAATATCCCTTGTCTCTCTACGTACTACATACCAGCATTCAGGCCCTGCTCAGTTAGTATACTCAAAAATGCCTTGAGACAATGCCCTAAGTCCCCTGGCAGGCAATACTGCCCCCATGAGACTGCTGCTCTAGATTGCGAGGCTGTTTGAATTACTATACCTATAGCAGTGGTCTCAACCTTCCTAATGCTGCGATCCTTTTATGCAGTTCTTCATGTTGTGGTGACAGCCAACCATAAATTATTTTCGTTGCTACTTCATAACTGTAATTTTGTTACTGTTATGAATCATAATGTATCTGTGTTTTCCGATGGTCTTAGGTGACCCCAGTGAAAGGGTCATTTGACCCCCAGTGGTGGCATGACCCACAGGAGAACCACTGCCATATAGACTACATAAAAATCAAAGCATAGTGCAGATATTAAACACAGCATACATGTTTAAATGTAAAGCAAATGAATGCTGAAACACTTAAGTCATCAGATTTTCCCTAATAAACAATGAGGAACAAAAACCTCATGTCCTTTGGGATTACCATAATGTGAAGACATAGTTCCTCCAGAGGCACACGTAAGATTTCAGGTACAGAATAGTCCAGAAAACCTTCAAATCTGAAAAAAGGAATATGTCATGAGTAATGCCACCCAGGACTGACAGGTGTGCTGTGAATGTCCAGTGCTGTGCCTACCTTTCTCTCGTGTACAGCCGAAAACAGAAGCCGTCTCGGATCCGCCCAGCTCTCCCCTGTCGTTGCAGGGCACTAGCTTTACTGACAAAGGTCTCCACCAAGGAACTCATCTGACTGCTTTCATGGTACCTAAAAACACGTTTGAGGAGACAGTATTGTGGATAACTGACTCAGCAAATCCAGAAAAAGCTGCAAACATCACCGAACTCATTACTATTGTGAACAAACATTTCTTTTTTACAGGGCAGGAGCTTCACACAGGGTCTCCCTGTGTAGCTCTGGCTGTCCTGTAAACTCACTATGTAGACTAGGCTGACCCTGAACTCAAAGAAATCCACCTGCCTCTTCCTCCGGAGAGCTGGGATTAAAGGTGCATACTACCATGTGTGGCTGACAAACATTTCTTAAGTCATATTTCCTGATTAAATTTTTAGCAAAGTGTTTATCCATGCTGCCAAATGAAAACCTTTTCTACAAAAGAAAATGATTTGTTTAACTCATCTTTCCTCACAGTAATCTGACCAAGGGTCTTATTCATTTTAGTTAATACCTACTAATCACAAAACAAAGGTGGTGCAATGCCAACATTACAGCTTAAAAGCACTGATCCCAAGATGTTTCCTCTAAAGACACATTATTTCTTTTAGAATTGATTTTCTATCACCTAGCCATCTTTTTCAAATACTTCTGTAGTTTTCGGATATTGGGGATTGTATATAGACTACAATTGGCTAACGGTGGTCTCCACTGTTTATGTAGCACACACTAATGTACACACTACTCAGTAATAGCATTTTGTGGAAGGTCAGTTAAGGCATCTGTAATGTTCTGGTTGTGATACACAGCATTTGCAATTATGAAACTGTCATCTTCTTCTTTAGCACATAAGGATCTGATGATTAGGAGGGCTGCTTGGTTCAGATTTCTCCAAAGTCTATGCTTGTATCACAACCCCATAGATAATGCCGTGTTAAACACTTTATTTGATAAGCAAAAAACATATAAGTTTATGTTGTAAAATTCTGCCCAGATAATACTTTTAAGTGGGGGCACAATGATGTTATTTTTGGTAAAATCCAAATTCAGAAATTTAGCCTCTGATATTTTAAATTCACCTATATCAAGGCTTTCTCTGTGGGCAGAATTATGACTGTTAGGATCTTGATTCCCCTAACATGATTCTGTAATTTCTCCAAAAAACTCAATGTTAAAAACTTTCACTGTGAGAAAGTTAAACTTACTTATTTTCTTTTGTTCTTCCAGTATCAATGACAAACACAACATCAGGAATAGTGATTCCCGTCTCTGCAATATTTGTTGCTAAAACAATCTGCAAATAAAGAAGAAGCTAAAGTACTTTGACAGCTCTTGACACTGTCACCTGACATTTTCTTTAGACGGAGCTGATGAGTTTTTAAAGGTGAATTTTAAGGGAGCAGTGGAAGGAGGGATCAAAAGAAAGCCACTTTCAATTTTAGTCACAAGAATTTAGACAGTTTTATTTTGTAAGTTTAATTTGCTATACGGTTTCATCAGCTCGTCTTAATGAGGTTGTTAGATTAAAAAATATGAAATTTCAATTTTAATTATGTCTATGTATGTGTGTTTGTGCTTGAGTATGTTTACATTTCATGAGAGCCAGTGCCTGGGCAGGCCAACACTGTCCCCTGGAGCTGGAGTTCTGAGTTCTGAGCTTCTGGGAAGCTGGGTCCTCTGCAATAGCAGGGTGTGCTCTGCTGAGCCAGCTCTCCAGCACATGGTACAGATGACTATTACAACAGAAACATCACTCCCTGAAGTCTAGTCAGTCATCTTAAACATGACAATACATTGGGAATGGGGTCAGAGAATTGAGACACTTCAATTCAACCCTATTCAATCAATTACTAGGAAAAGAACTACTACTGAGAAGAGTTGGGTATTACCTCAGCTGTAAACAAGGAGGTACAGAAACATGGTATTTTAGGGCTAGCTTTAAAATTCTTAAGCAGTGACAGTTGAATAGTAGATGCTCTTGTTGAATCCTTGGAGGTAAAACGTCTAGGTCAAGTCTAAGATGCACTGCTCTATTTTAATCATGTTTTCCAGAACTGACTGCTCCCAGATTAATTGGCAGTGCTAAGATTTTTTTTTGTTAAGGCAAACTCTTCAAACAAAATCTTTTTTACAGGGAGGCAGATGTTAAAGATCAGAGCAGTCTCAGGGTCTCTGGAGTTCTCAGAAGACAGAAAACCACCAGATTAATAAAAAAAAAAAAAAAGGAGAAATTGAACAGTGGTCAGTTTAGGGATGAGGACCCAGGTCTTGTGCATTGGTCAGGCTTGTTCTGACAGCTCCCTGCTTCCCAAATTGTCTCACAATGTAACTATATTGTTTTTAATAATTTCTTCTTAGAGAAGATTCAAAACCTGAGGAATTTTTTGTCAAGAATCTCTTCATTCAGAACTGTGACCAAAGGGCACCAACTAATCCCAAAAACTAATGTCTGTGAGCTACAATCAGGAATTAAAAGCTGAGGCTGGGGATACAGCTCAATGGTACACTTGCATGAATGAGCACTGTTCTGGATTCGATTATTAGTATATTAATGAATGGAATGAATGAATAATTGAGGCTGAAGGAACCAACAGTCTGGAGAATAAGAATTCTCCCAGGACTTAAATAGCTGTTGACATCCAATCTCCTTCATGATGCTTTCTTTCTTCTTCTTCTTCTTCTTTTTTTTTTTTTTTTTTTTTTTTTTTTTTTTTTGAGACAGAGTCTCTCTACATACTTCTGGCTGTCCTGGAACTCACTATGTAGACCAGGTTAACCTCAAACTCAGACATCCATCTGCCTCTGCCTCTGCCTCTGAGTGATGCGATTAAAAGCATGTGCCATCACACCCAGTTTATAATGCTTTCTTAGGACAAAGTAGACTTTTTCCTTTTAAAAAATAATGTACAAAAAAAGCAATATACGTATTTTCCAACTACACTTCCCTCAAAAGTCTGTTTCTTATTAGCCCATAATGTAAATACTCAAATGTCTGAATTTAAAAAGGTTTTAAAAGATATTTCTTTTCTATGTGTGTGTCTGTGTGCATATGATGTGAGTAAAAACACCCAAGAAGGCTGAGGCTTTGAAGGATCACCTGGAGCTGGTGTTACAGGCAATTATGAGCTGCAGTGTGGTGCTCAGAACCAAACTGTGCCCATAGACTCTTAACCATTAAGCCACTCACTCACTCATTTCTGAAATATTCTCAGACCACACATATTCACGTCTTGAAATTACCTTCCTGACTCCTGGAGGGGGAAGTCTGAATGCTGCTGCTTGATCTTGAGTTGAAAGAACAGAATGCAGAGCTATAACTTCATATCTGAAAGTTAAAATCATAGTTCTTAGCAAGAGTTTCTCTTTAGAAGACACTGCAAAGAATAACAAAATTTATTTGCATATAGAAAGCAACCTTCAATATTTTATTACGAAAAACTTTAAATAAACAGAATGTCACAGAACAGTATAATAAGACCCTACAATACAACTGCCAGAGGGAAAAATTTAATACAAGCAAATTATAGGTTGAGCATCCCTCTTCAGAATTGCTGGGACCACTAAGTGTTCCAGATCCTGAATTTTGTATTGTTTGATTAAGGATGAGTAAGTTTATATGTGAAATATGAGGCTTAAATGTTTTTTAAAGTCCTGATATTAATATGATAACCACAACAAGAGAAATAAATTATAACATAACAAGTAAATGGCTATTTAAATAGATATGGTTGCTAAGTTGCAAAACTTTGGTGGCTTTTGGAAAACTCAGTGGGTCAGGCTTTTGGAAACCACAGGATTGTTGGCTCAGATTATAATTAAAAAAAAAAAAAACACAACAAATGCAGTTACAGTACCTATAAATCTCCATGAACAACTGTAGAGATTAAAAAAGCCTGAAATTTCTGATCAAGAGTTTTAATGTATCAGATCTTCTGTTTTAAAATCACAAAGAATAAAATGAAGACTTGTAGTTACCGCTCAGAATAAAATCTTCTGTCATTTGATAGGAGATCATACAACTGCTGAATATGAGCAAGGCCGGGTAAAAAGATCAATGCTGCTCCTTCAATATTTCTGAATTGGGGACTTTTGTCTGAAATAAAAAAAAAAAATCAAAATGAGACCGGAAACAGCATATAAATATTAATAAATGTATCTGGTAGAGTGTTTTATCAAAATGAATAGAACAATACCTAAATATACAAGAAGTTCCAAAATCAGATCCAGGTTGATTTTATGAGGGTTCATGTAGAGAAGAGCATGCTGAGTTCGGCTACTGTACTTTAGGTAAAATGGATTTAATTCAGTACTTGCTCCAGTCTGAACTGGGATGTATTCCTAAAAGAAAACCCAACCAGAGAAAGCTGAAAAGAAAAAAAGTATGTATATTTGGGCTGTAGACATAACTTAGTGGGAGAGTATTTGCTTCTCCTGGGTTCAATTCCCACAACTGCAAACAAACAATTCAAACCACAAAAAACAAAACCAAATTCTATTTTTATAATAGAAACAAGGAAAAAGGGTGCTATCTTTACTCATGTAAATTAAGTTTTTCTTGTTGCCACAATTACTTTGCTAAAATACAGCAGGAGTTAATCAGTTAATTGATTATGTTTGAAATAGGTTCTTGCTGTGCTGCCTGAGCTAGTCCAGAACTCATGGGCTCAAGGGATCCTCACAGCCCAGCATTCCAAATAGCTGGGGCTGCAAGTCTGTATCACCATGCCCCACTTAGGAGTAGAAATTTAATAAAGTGTCATGAAATTTCATCATTCTCCTATACTTGAACAGCAAAAACCTATTTATCTTCCCATGCTCATATAGAAATAATTGTAGAAACCATACCATATTTGTACCTGCATTTTTCTGTGGCAGTTAAAAAGTATCCAGACCCAAAGACTGTAATGACTTTAATAAAGGTAGTTTATATAATAAAGGTAGTTTATATAATAAAGGTAGTTTTCATTCTTTCTGCATTCTACCTTCGCTACCAAGTGCTCATTGTCTCATCTGAAATACCTTTCTAAGCCTTTCTTCGGTTTTTAATTTTAATCTCTGGGGTTTTAGAGAAAAGTCTTAGACTATGCTTTCTTGGCTTATCTGTTTAATTTAAACACAGACCAAGTTTGTGTTTGCAACAGTTTGGATTCATGCACTCAATACAAATCAAGTAGCACAGATGTAGTGGAGACTGGATCTGGTACCACTGCTAAAGAGGGAGTCATGAGACATTGACAATAATGCTGCAGTCACACAATTGCCTCTAACTCCCCAGCAAAGACTGTTTGCCTTGAACAGCTCTGTTATAGATTTAATGTTGGCTCCTCTAAGACACAGGCTGCTAAGAAAACCAATAGCACAGATCTAGATTTAGAACAGCACCATGTCCTGAGTCACAGTAGAAAAATTATCATAGAGACGTATTCTTCAGTCATGAATAACTGCTAGGAAGCTGTTCTGAATGTTGCTTCACATTTATGTAGTCCTTGATTCTACATACATCTAATGGCCCCAAACAGTATAACATACAGTTAAAGTATCACAAATTAAGGACTAAAGTCTGAAACAAGATTAAAGAGATAGCCTTTAAAATGTACTCATTCTCCTCAGGGCAGTGGTGGCACACCTTTAATCCCAGCACTCGGGAGGCAGAGGCAGTCGTATCTCTGGGAGTTCAAGGCCAGCCTGGTCTACAGAGTAAATTCTAGACCATCCAAAATTATTACACAGAGAAACTTTGTTTTGGGGGTGGGGGTGGGGTAAGAGAAGAAAATCACTCATTCTCATAACCGTTACTCTGATTTGCCCTGCTAGCCACATGACTTTAAATTCACGTAGCAGGTTGTACTCTGGACAGTTACTACATCTTTCTGAGTATTTTCTTTTTACCTGATACTTCTTTATTCCCCCAGCTTTACTTGTAACATTAATGGTAATTTCTTCTTCCTCCTCCAGAAATTTCTGACAATATTCTGAGTCTTTCTCCAGTACAAAGCCCGTTTCTTCTATTATATCTTCAAGATGAAAAACCTGCAGATAAGGCATATACAGACGTGGACTGGAAGTCACTCAGCAAATGCCATCAAAGAAAACACGGAGAGCCTTGTCTTTCAAATGTCACTAAATTAAGTTAGGATGTGAGGGAAATCTTTCTGTCAGAGTAATTGGGATTGAAGAATGTAACAGACACACGAGGTCTGCTTCTAAAGGCTCAAAGACACACACATTTTGGTTTTAAAAGAAAATGGTCAGAAGAAGAGACAGACAACCCTAGACCCATGAGTGACTGAAAACAGCAGACGTATTGGCAGGTGGCACCTTCAATATAAACATGACTTGATGTGGAAGTAAGCTTCAGTTCCTGCAGTCTGTCATCAGGACACTAGACAATGTTTTCCCGTCCTTCCCACCCGCTGGGCATGGTCATCAATACAGGTATCAGGGTCTCTCCCTACACGAGTGTTCTGGGAAATTGGTATGAATGGTTCCCGCTTACACACACACACACACACACACACACACACACACGAAAACTTACCTCAACGGGGTAACTTCTTCCTGAAATTCTGAGAATAGGACAGTGTGTGAAGTATGTGGAGAACTTGTCACTGTCCACAGTGGCGCTCATCAGAATCAAGTGTAGGTCAGAACGTTTCTGTAAAATTTCCTTCAGGATAACAAGCAGGAAATCTGACTGAACACTTCTTTCATGGACCTAATGAAAGACAACATGAAATCAATCATATCTAGTGCCTGGGAATAAATAATCTGACACTTGAATCTACTAAAAATTAATATCTGAATATAATGAGGATATGTGGGTTTATGAATTAAAACTCAATTTATTCTCTAAAACTGGAGTCAATGGAGAGAAGAAGAACCTCCTGCCCTTCTGATACACACAGTTAAGTGACTCTAAATTTACTATAAAGCACAGGTGATGTAAGGAGACTCTGTCCCCCTGCTACAGGGCATAGATAACTGCCAGAATATAACATATATATCTGCCAGAATATAACAAGTACTTGCTACATGTATGTCTGTGCTCTAACTTTCTGTACTCTTACATATTTCTGTCCTAATTTATAACAGATTACAGAAGCACATAAAAACAAAGTGCATTAAGATAATAAGTAATTTTCACAATCTGCTTGGAAGACAGACAATAGTGCTTAAGCATGCATGCCTGGGGATCAATTCCTTGGGTTCATCTGTTGGCTTGACCACTTACAGTATGACTTTGAGAAAGTTACATAAATATCTCTGGGTCTACTTACTCATCCATTAAAAAAAAATTAAAATTTCATGGAGTTGTGTGCCAACCAAATGAGATAATAGAAAGCCCACAAAACAAAGGATTACAAATAGCAAACGCCTTGCATTGTGGCATATGCTAAGATAAAAGCCAATCAAGAGAGAAGGTATTGTATATATACAAGAGAACTTGTCAATGATGCTGAAAACTGACAGATGAGTTTGAGTGCTACTACAGGAGAAAAACAGGACGGGGAAGGGAAGAAAAAGTAATTAGGTCAAGGAACAGATCCATGCACAAGTCACAATGGATGTATAAAGCCCTGTTTCAATTCCTAGTACCCCAAATAAACACACAAGGGAAGGGACAGATGGCTCAGTGGTTAAGAGTACTGGCTACTCTTGCACTTGAGCACACACATGTAACTCTAGTTCCAAGGGATCTGATGCCCTCTGTTGGCCTCTACAGGCAACAGGCATGTACATGGTATACAGACAAGTGTGCATCCCAAACACCCATACACATGAAAAAAAAAAAAAAATCAGAGGGACAAAAGGACTCATAATATAGTTCAGGAACTAAAATACTAGACTTGGGCTCTGGGATGGGAAATATGCAGGAGATAAAGCTGGAGAGATATCTAGTGATAGCCATGTAAACCTTATAATAAAGCATCATTAAGGAATCTCTGTCTGGTGATTACATCATCTTAAAGCAGAATCATATGATTTAGGTATTATCTGTAATTCAAAAAACAAGAGACACAGGACCTGGAGCTAGCTGTTCATGAGGGCACACATCTTTACTATTAGGACCTGGAAGCTGAGGCAGGAACACGGTGAGCTCAAGGCCAACCTGTGTAGATTCTGCATCACAGAAAACAATCTACTCTGGACTCTGACTACAGTGCAGAGAATGAAAGCAGCAAGTTTAATTCCTAAGATGCTATTGTAGTTATTAAAGAGATACTGGTGGGCCTTGCAGGGAGTAAGAACACTGAATGAGGAGGAAAGTGAGTGGCTCTGAAGACAGAACAAACACAAAAGCTGGGTGTTTTTACTTTGGTGACTGACTCGTAGTGGCAGGGCTCCCTCACAGGTCAGGAGAAAAGAGTGGGACAAGCTACAAGGATCAGCAGGGAAGGACATTCTGAGACTTGGAAACACCAAACCCTAAGCTCCCAAGACTGAAAGTGTCTAGAAGGTACCTGGAGATTTATGGCTGAAGGTCAGGAAAGAGATTCAGTGAACCACAGTGATTTGGAAAATTTCATCAGAAAAATGAAAAGGAATTGCGACCAAGATTGTAAAAAAGATAACATACACTGGAGCTAATAAAAATGCATAGCATTAAGTACACCTCTTACTGGTGGTCAGAAAATGGAGCTATTAGCATAGCCAGCAATGAGAGTTACTTAGGTGTCACACCAACTATAAACTCCTGCAAAGCACACAATTCCTAATAACACAGGCAGAAGAGGACTGGCCTGAAATCACAAACTGTCCCCAAATCCTTAAGTGCTGATGAATTCCATTTGAACTTTAAAAATTTCTTCTTTTAAAAGATTTTTACTTTTTAAGGATTTATTTTTATTTTATGTGTATGAGGGTTTTGTCTGAACATACATGTATGTGCACCAAACATGGGCCTGGTGCTTATAGAGGCCAGAAGAGAGTGCTAGATCCCATGGAGTTTCAGATGTGATCTGCCTTGCATGTGGGTGCTAAGAACTGAAGTTGGGTCCTTTGGAAGAGCAGCAAGTGCTCTTAACCACTGAGGCATCTCTCCAGTCCCAGATTTTATTTTTAATTATATGTATGTGTCTGTGTTGGAATATGTCCATATGTGCACAGTTGCCCACAGAGGCCATGTAGGTGCTGGGAATCAAACAGAGATCCTCTGCAAGAGTAACAATAGCTCTTAACTGCTGAGTCATTGCTCCAGCCCCTCACTACTCTTTATATCAAGAGGGTGATGGTGTCAAACTGAAGTTGATTCCGTTAGTCATGTCTTTGGGTAGTCAATATCAAACAGTCACAGAATACAGCTTCTGCAAGTTGGTCTGTCTTTAAAGAAATTTTCTCCTAACTATTTAGTTCTTAGAGAATTTATTATTGGATATAAATAAAAATTCTCATTGACAGATTCGAATAGACTTTGGATAATGACCCTTGATGATACTTAGTTAGGTCTGGGCTTGCAAAGTAACAATTATGACCTCTGTATTCTCTGGAAAACTGTATCCATATCCTCTGCATCCTGTGGATAACTCTTGCATGTCATAAGTCAATAGTCACCCAGCCTCTTTCTAACAGCTTATTAACCACAATGCAATTTTCCACCTACCCCACACGGAAAGGAGATCCTTAAAGAAAAAATAATTCCTATCACTTATTTGTTACCAGAATATTAATTAGATTAAAAAATGTCTTTGCATAAATTTATCTAATAAAAAATGCTTAAAAATAGAAGATATCCAAATTATATAGTGCTGTAAAGCCATTTAAAAGTCATGATTTTGTACACTAGTGATAGGAAAGAGTCACAAACTAAACAGACACAAAGAAAAAAAGCAGGACTGTGAGATTGTAATACTCATTTTTCTTCTATTTTTTATTTAAATTAGAAAGTCTTATTTTACCTATCAATCCCAGTTCCCTCTCCCTTCCATTCTCCCATGGCCATCACCGACCCCCACATCCACTCCCCACGGAGAGTGAGGCCTTCCATGGGGGAATCAACAAAGTCTGTCACATCATTTGGGGCAGGGCCTAGGCCCTCCCCCATGTATTTAGGTTGAGAGAGTATCCCTCCATGGGGGAATGGGCTCCCAAAGTCCATTTGTGCACTAGGAATAAATACTGGTTGCCCTGCAAGAGGCCCCATAGACTGCCCAGGCCTTGGTCCCTCAAAAGAGCGCCTGAACAAATTGGGGTGGTGGTGGTAGGAGAAAGAGGAGGGGAGGAGAGAAGTGGGGAGGAGAACATGAAGGATCAGGAAGATTGAATCTGGAGATGAACAGAGGAGAGCAAGAAAAGAGATACTGTAATAGAGGGAGCCACTATAGGTTTAAAGAGAAATCTGAAAATGTTCAGAGAGCCACAAGGATGACCCCAACTAAGAATCTAAGCAATAGTGGAGAGGCTACCTTAAATGCCCTTCCCCTATAATGAGATTGATGACTACTTTAAATTTTCTTTTTTCTAATATTTCCTAACCCAAAAGAAGACTAATCTACAAAATAATCTATAATCTACTAATTATGAATCAATGAATGAGCAAGTGTGGTGTCACATGCCTGCCATCTCAGTGCTTGGGAGGATGAAATGGGAAGACTGATGTGAGGGGGCAGCCTGAGCTAGACCCTGTCTCAAAAAAGCCAATGTATGACAAAACTGTTACTACTGCATTTTTAAATTCAGTAAACTAATAGACATTAAAAAAAACTTAACATCAGACTTTTCTTTCTCTATTCCTTTTTCTTTCTTTTCTTTTTTTTTTTTTTTTGGCATGTTAAGATAGTCTCACACTGTTCCATGCTGACTAGGAACTTGAGGCAATCTTCATGTCTCAGCCAACCAAGTGCTGAGATATACAGATGTCAGTTATCCTGCCTTGATAGAAAAATTTGGTAATCCTTTCTGAAAAGAGAATTGCTATATATATCTTCTTGAAAAAAAAAAATAACAAATTAGTTTACTTGAGTAGGTCGGTAGACAACCCAGATAGGTTTAACATAAAACACTGGGCATAATTCAAGAGTGTACTCAAATTTTATTTGAGAAGAATATTTAGAGAAAAAAATGCACGCTAATGATCTCTTGTCTTCTGAACTCTGAAACATGTTGATGCAGTGGCTGAGCAGTGGTGCACTGGCAGAGAGGTGAGTGTCCGAGCGCCTGGGTCTGAGCCTCTCTTTACAACTGAAAACACAACAGTGTTTTCAACTGTTGAGGTAAAAATATCTACCCCACTGCAATGCTGAAAAGGTTAGATGATCATGTGTCTGTGTCTGTGTGATCCTTTGAACAACATCAAGCACACAACAAATAGGATATAGCAAATCCATGAACACAAGATATTTGATAGATGAAACATTTTTTTTCAACATCTTTTTAATATAAACCCGTTTGGATTTATCTGGACACAAGTATAAAACCTACTCACCTCATCTACAATGACATGAGACACATCAGTCAGAAGACTATCTTCCTGAAGTTTCCTTAGCAAAACTCCTGTTGTACAGTACAGCAGCCTGGTAGATTCGCTAGCTCGAGATTCCATCCGGATCTGATAGCCACACAAAGAGTTCTGTAGGGAGAACACAGAGTGGCTATAAGAGTTGACAAGTGAGCTAAACAAGCTGCAGAGTGCAGTGCAGGTGCTCATCTTGATACTTCATTCAACAGTTCAGGCAGATCCTCTTACACAATTTATTACCAAGAGTCTATTTCTAGCCTGACATGGTGGCTCACACCTATAGTTCTAGCACTCAGGGAGCTGAGGCAAGAGTACCACTGTGAGTGTAAGGCCAGCCTGGGTTATACATCAGTTCCAGGGAGGCTTGGGCTATAGTATAAAATCTTGCCTCAAAAAGCCAAGAAAATGTATTTGTATAGTTTTCAATTGAATGAAGCTACAAGATTGGTCTTGACAATTTAAAACTTTATGTTCTATTTAGTGTGGATGAGCGTAGGCTCGTGCAAACTAGGGTGCACATGTGGAGATAGGAGGACGACTGTTGGCTCTCTTCTGTCATCCTATCAGATCCGGACTGAACTCATAGCTGCCTCTACCTTCTGAGCCATCTCTTCAGCCCCATCATTTGCTTTTCTTCTTTTTTGAATAATCTTTTTATCTACCTTCTTTTCCTTTTCACTGAAAAAAATGAAACCACTCAGGGATACATTCCACAGAAAAGATTTATGATGTACTGAGGTCAACTCTGAACTGTTTATTCTTTGAAGTATGTAACATATTTGAACATTCAGTGATCAGAACTAGTATCCTGTGCAGGTTCCCAGGAGCAAAGCAGAGTCAGATCACCACTCAGAGGTGGAGAGGAGAGAAGAAGCCTTACCCGTCCTCCAGGTCCATTCTCACAGCCCAATTCATCACACACCCTGGTGGCCAAACTCACAGCTGAGATTCTTCGGGGCTGGGTACAGACTATGTTACATTTCCTTGCTCCACACTCATTTAGAAGCAAATCTTCCAACAGGAAATGTGGGACCTGAGTGCTTTTGCCACTTCCTGTTTCACCTGCCACGACCACAACCCGGTGCCTTTTTAGGGTTTCCACAATTAAATCCCGGTGTTTGAACACAGGCAGCTGCTGTCTTTCCTTCAGCAGTCTCTGGTACTTGGGTGTGCTCTGCAGCTTTCTGAAGAGGTTCTTAATAGGCTCCAAGTCTTCTGCATTTGTTGACTCCAAGGACAGTGCAGAAAGATCCTCATCAGAAACTAAGTTTTCCCAAGATTCCTCAGGGTCTTCAGAGGTCTCTTTTTTATGTTCAGAACGCTGTTGTTGTTGTTGCTGTTGCTGCTGCTGCTTCAACTTACTCAAAAGTTTGGCAATAAAAAGATCACGTGGTTTATTGGTTTCCATTTTATTTAATTCTTCCTTTTTCTTTTCTTCATCACTCCATTCCAGCCAAACATCTCGGTAAGTAGGAGGAAGTAACTGATGAACAGACTAAAAAGGAAAACAACAGCTGTTTTACTTTGCTGACTAAACTTAGGATCGTTGACAGTCTCTGAAAATCTAACTTTATCCTTACATTTTAAAGTCGTTAAAATAAGCGACACATCTTAGGCTATCAATTCATAAATGACACATCACAGTTGTGTTTCTTGACTTGATGGCTGTGTGTCTATGTGGGAATGAGTAAGATCTCTGCTTTCTGTCTATGCCTAGTGCCTGTAAAGTGCTGACTCTTAGAGCACGGTGAACTACAGAATGAGTGTTCAATACATATTCCTGCATGGGTACTATATAATATGTAGATGAACCACAGGGCATTTTGAAACACAAAGCTCCCTATGAGATCTGGCAGTGGTATAGTGCTATAAGTCCAAAGTTCTTTAAAAGGATGACACCAAGTAGAATCTTCAGTTACTCTGCTTCTCCACTATCAGAGAACCTCTGATTATCTCCTTGACATCAACAGTCATTTTTTAACCTTTATTTAAAAACATTTTTTTTCATTTTATATACCAATTCCAGTTTCCCCTCCCTCCACTTCTCCTGCCTTCCCACCTTCCCCCTCCCAACCCCCATCCACTCCTCAGAGGGGGTAAAAAAGTGTGGCATACCAATCAACAGTCATTGTTATCAAGAATATATATTTATCAAGAATATATATATATATACAGAGAGAGAGAGAGAAAGAGGGAGAGAGAGAGAAAGCTTTACTTTGCAAAATTCAAGAAATAAGACATTATGAACTTTGACACAAGTTGGAAAAGAACAACTGTTTGGTCTCCTGCTAATTTCCCGTGATGATTTGAATGAGAATAGCCCCACAGGCTCAAGTTTGAATGTTTGGTCTCCAGTTAGTGGGGATTATTTGCCTCTACCTCCCAAGTGCTGGAATTAAAGGGGTGCACCACCACTGCCTGGCAAGAAACACATTTTTTTTATAAAAAGGAAATGCTGGCACTCTAAATTTTGAAACCAGCATTGTGTTCTCTCAAAGAGCTTCTTCCTTCTTTCTTTAAACTCTAATATAACCTTAAGTTGAAAAGGAACCACTTGTCTACATTTTTAAGTTGAAAAAAATTGAGTTTTATGGGACAATTTTATTGTAGGACAGGTATCTCATATCTCAAATATTTGGAACCATAAGCTTTGGATTTTAGACTTAGGATACTGGCACATACACAATGGAGTAGACTTGGGCTAGACCTTGTCTAAACACAAATTCTGTTTGTTTTATATATGCCTTTCACAGAGAGCCTGAAAGTAATTTTATGCTATACATGTAATAATTTCATTAACAAAACAAAGTTTCTTGGTACAGAATTTTCTACTGTGGCATCATGTTTGTGCTGAAAAAGATTAGTGTTTTAGAGCCTTCAGACTGTGGAGTTTTGAGTCAGGGATGCTCAGCTTGTATGGCCATCATTTCAGTGGTTTCTAAAGCACCAAGGCCTAAAGGGGCTCACCTGCCCTTTCACTAGACGGTAAAGGGCTAATGTAGCTCCCAGGTGCTGAGCTTGCATGCCATCCTCTGTTAAGATTGTAGGGCATACGACCAGAACATCATCTTCAGACTTGACAACCCTTACCCTAAAAAGAAGCATAAAAATAACAACAAAACCTTTAAAAAAAATCGATGAGGTCAGATCAAAAAGTCAGAAATTCATTAACATGGAACTTTAACTTAAAACAATTATGTAAGTAATTGGAAGGCACTCCATTAAATAATGACTTATAAGCAATGTGAACTGGAAATGAGGAATTAAGAGTTTCTTAAATGCTTACTTGGTTTGTGTTTTGCTTTTGAGATAAGATCTCACTTTACAGGCCAGACTAGATTGGAACTCACTCTGTAGCCCAGGCTGGCCTGGAACTCCTGCCTCAGCCTCCTAAGTGCTGGGATTACAAGCATGAACCACTAAGCCTGACATTTCTAAATGTTTACATAACTTACAAAACACAGAAAAATTTTCATTTCACATTTTTCTAAAAGTTCATTCAGTTAACCAGAAAAACATACCTACATTTCCAGTATCTACCTACTGGAACTTTCTCAAAGGAAGGATTTGGACTCTTGGGAAGATTCTTCCTGACCCAATCGATCAGAAACTGTTTGGGAGATTTTCCAGTCCAGCTTCGAGCAGTGTAGTCAAAATTTCTTACATCATGAGGTTCTTTCTTTTTACCTTAAATGGAAGGCAAAGACTTGTTCTTTAAAAATGGTAACAGCAATGTAAATTCTCTGTGGAGTGATCAATGTGCGGTTCCCAAAAGGGACAGCATTTCTGAAGAGAACAGATGAAGGAGGAACAGAGAAAAGTTGCTCTTCTCTCAGTGATGCAATCCTCTTCATGGATTGAACCACAGAATATCCTGAGTCTTTTGTTGTTGTTGTTGATGGTTTTGAGACAGGGTCTCACATGGCCCCAGCAGACCAAAACTTGCTTTGCAGCCAAGGATGATCTTGAACTCCTGATCCTCCTTGTCTTCTTCCCAAGAAGAAGTGTTGGGATCTGAGGTGTGTACCAACTGGCTGACCTCGAGGACCTTATTAGTGTTCATATTTAGTTAACGACAATGTGTTACTGAAAAAAATATGTCACACAGCCTCCATGTGTTACTGAAAAAAAAAATGTCATATACCATTTCTTTACTTCACATGGCCATTGCCACCAGCACCACCTTCAGTGGCTTCCTGGTACATATAAAATCAAATGGCTTCTCTGGTTTACCCCTGCCAATATACTGCTGCCCTTTCCTAAAGTGCGTACACTGGCCCTCAGGCAATTCTTTAAATGTTCAAAGTATCCCTGGCCCAGTAGCTACCAGCCTGTGGATAGAAAACAATTATGATTTCAAATGTCCAGGTATACTAGTCACACCTTAAGTGCTCGATATTCATATTTACTATTAACTACCACATTAATAACACAAATATAGTACATCTATATCACAGAATAGCTGTCAAATAGTGACACAATAAACTCACTTTTACTTTAAGATTTTTAACTTACTATCTCTCTTCTTTGAGAGTTCTTTCTACCAGCTTGCGACCAGGCTAACACCTGACTATCTGTCAGACTACCACATTATTCTCAGAGCTAATATTACCAGCAAGGTGGCCTCAGTTAAATTAGACCTCTCTGCACTATTATTATTATTATTATTATTATTATACTTTAAATTATGTCTGTATGTGTGTGTCTGTGTGTGGGTATGTTCACATGAGTACAAATGCCCAGAAGAGGGTGTCAGAATCCCTGGAACCAGAGTTACAGGTGATTTCAAGCCTCTAAGAGTTGGTGCTTGGAACTGAACTCAGCTCTGCAAGAGCAGCATGTACTCTTAACTGCTGAGCCATCTCTCCAGCCCTGGTCTCTTTATTATTAAAAGTCTGATTTCTCTGAAATCATGATTTAAAATACATTTAAATTTAAATACAATTTGTCTGTGCTCACATTCCATGCTTAATTGCACAAATAACATTGGGTTATTTTGTTCACATAACTTGTTTATTTGCACAGTAATGGTTCAATAAATATTACTGAACAGGTGAAAAAATGTAAAAGTCTATTATTAAATATAGGAGAGATCTATAATATAATCTGATGAACATGCAAAGAATATGACCTGTGTGTATGTAACACACAGAAATGCATGGTCACTCACATCTTGGGGTCATGGAGGAGGACTTAGGGAGTCAAAGAAATAGTATTGTTTGATTTGTGCCTAGGCACTAGGAATTCACTCACAGCCAAGGAAACACAGCAGAAACCCAGGAGAGTGCTGCTTGCTGGATCACCTTCTGGTTTATGCTTAGCTAGTTTTCTTACATAGCCAAGGACCACCTGTCAGAGAATGGTGCCCCTCAAAGTACGCTGAACCCTTCTACATCAATTGTCAATGAAGATAACCCCTCAGAGACATGCCCAAAGACCAATTTGATAAAGAGAAGACTGCCTTTTCAGGGTCTAGAGAGCTCACTTGCTATGGCTAAGGGCATATACTGCACTTGCAGAGGACCTGAGTTTGGTCCCCAGCACTTATGTGGAGCAGTTCACAACTGCTTTTAACTGCAGCTCTAGGGCACTCAACAACCTCTTTTGGCCTCCTCGGCACTCGTGCACAAACCCACATACAAACACACACATAATTCTAGGCAGTGTCAAGTTGATAGCTAAAATCTAACCGTCAAGTTTGGAGGATGAACTAGAGAGAGAGAGGGACTTAGCCAGTGTCTCTGCAATGGCTCGTCACGAAAGAATAATTTTACTGTTTTAGTAGAATGCCCAAATGCAAAGCAACAGTCATGCTCTCCTAATTTTACCTTTCTCTTCTTCAGTGATGGCTGCAGGTTTTTCAAATAAATTCAAGTTTAAAGCACCTTCCCCTTCTGTGGTTGGAGGAGGCCTTTTCCTTTCATTTTGTTGATGTGAAATCTTTATGGCTGGGTTGAATACTGGATGGTCTTCTAAAGTTTCCATTTCTACCAGGAGAAAAGTCTAGTTTCATGTATTTGCTTTTTATGTTTTGTATTTTGCAAATATAGTTTAAAAATGGCATGTCTTTTTCTTTTAAAACCAATTACTTAATTCCTACTTGGAATCTATTCCAGAAGCCAAGTGCAGTTGTTTTAAATTTCATAATGTATACTAAAAAGAATTAGTGAATGTAGTAGACTAAAAAAATTAATACCTTCATTAGAAAAAAATACATATAAGATCACATTTACATTTCTTTCTTGAATGGAAATAGCATTTTATAGCACATATACATACCTAGGATCGGCAAATTATGACCTACAGCAAAATCCAGCCCACTGCCTGTTTCTGTATGCCTTGTGAGCTATCATGGTGTTTACATTTTACAATGATTAAAAAAATAAGGGCTGGAGAGACAGCTCAGCCGTTAAAGCCTAGGCTCACAACCAAAAAAAAAAAAAAAAAAAAAAAACAAAAAAAAAAAAAAAAAAAAAAGCCAGATGGAAATGTTACCCACCTTTAATCCCAGCAGTTCGGAGGCAGCGGCAGGTGGAGCTCTGTGAGTTTGAGGCCAGCCTGGTCTACAGAGCAAGTTTCAGGACTGGCTCCATAGCTACTGAGAAACCCTGTCTTGAAAAAAAAACAAAAAAAAAAAAAGAAAAAGAAAACCAAAAAAAGAAATAAAGAAAAAAAATAAAAGAGGGGCTAAGGAGATAGCTCAGTGGGTGAAGAGATCTTAGCGCAGATTCTCAGTGCCCATATGAAAGCCATCTGTAATAGCATACATGTGCAACCTTAGAGCTTGTGAGAGGTGCATGGAGACAGATGGATCTCTGGGGCTTGCTGTTAGTCAGTTTAGATAAAACAGAAAGCCAACTCTAGTGAGAGATCATGTCTCAGAAAATAAGGGGGAGCCCAGGCATTGTGGTGTACACCTTTAGTCCCAGCACTTGGGAGGCAGCAGCAGGCAGATCTCTCTGAGTTTGAGGCCAGCCTGATCTACACAAAGTTCCAGGACATCCAAGGGTACACAGAGACTCTGTCTCAACACTCGCCCCACCCCCAATCCCTACCCCTCCCCACCCCCCTTGCCCCCATACACACACAGGAAGGTAAAAAAGAAAGAAACAAAATAAGATGGAGAGCAATAGAGGATGGTGCCTGGTATTGATGCTTGGCTTCCACGCATGCACACACGGGCATTAACACACACATGAATATACAAGACACATAAACAAAAAATAGTATTGGGTGACCTGAAAATCACAGTAACTATATAGGTTACTGTCCACAAATAAAGCCTGATTACAACACAGTCATTCATTTTTTTAAACTGATGCAGTTCCTTTATGTTGTAACACTTGAAAGGTTGTAACAACTGTAAAGTCCACAAAATCAACAATACTTATCATTTGGCTTGTTATAGGAAAAGTTAACCAATTTTTAAACTGTTAGCATAGCATAGACACACAATTACATTTCTACAAGTAAAAATTTCCAAATTTTTACTTACCTCTTTGAAACTTTCTTATTTTCTCTTGAGCCTCTTTTTGGCCTTGTTTGTTTTTTTCTATCTTAAAGGCAGCTGCCTGCTCCTTTGCGTCCAGAAGTTTGGCTGAAAGGTTCAAGTACCTTTGATTCTTTTCCAAGTAAAATGATGAAGAGAAAATAAAAAAAGTCTAAGAACAGTTTATCTGTGACCACTATTTAGTGTCAGAACCTATGATCCTTAGACCTAGCAAATCACCTTCTAGAACTTGTCAGAGAGAAATAAGACAAATGTAAGAGACATGAAAGGTGGAGGAAAACTCAGAAAACACAAGGCTATGACTCTGTAGCAAAAACTACAGAGGAGAATGCTCAACCCTGATGACTGCCTTTCTCCCTGGGTTAATAAGCGACAGCAGATGATAAACCCATTAGCATGTGGAGGAGACAAGGCATACGAGGGTGATGTTATGAAATATAATGGTTATATCCAGAGGAAAACACAACACAGTAAGCACAACTACCAATTGCTGGAGTAACAGGAGGAGGTCTAGCTACTGTCTCAAATCTACCCCATTCATACTATTTCTTCCCACTTTCCTTTATAAGATACCGACACCACCATTCCTCTACTTATGTATCTTGCCATTTTTGTTTTTCTGTCACTAGCCTTTGGTGGTAGCACTGTAGGAGATGGGGCCTGTTGGACATTACATGAACAGGAGTGTGCCCTTAAAGGGGATATTGAGACTCCAGTCTCTTTTGCTTCCTATCCACCATAAGATGAATGCTCTTCTAGTGACACTGTCATCATGATATTACCTGCCTTACCACAGGCCCCAAATTAATGCAGCCCAATGATCATGGACTAAAGCCTCTGAAGCTAGGAGCCAAAATAAACATTTTTAACATTTTAAATTGACCCAGGTAACACATATAGCCTCACACTTTTATTTTTCTTAAGATACCTATTTTTCTTTCCCAATTGCTGGCTTCCTCTATACAGGAATATGCTTTGCCTTTCTTCTATTACTCAGAATTTAACGTATTATTTACACATAACAGCCATGTTGAAATAAGTTAAGTTTATCTTTTTAAACATGGGAGAAATGTAATTAACACTTACTAGTTAGTTACTAAGTGCCAACATTTTACCTGTATGTTATTCTGTTTAGTTTTTACATATCTTCTAAGAGTTATTTGTCCAATTTAAAAGTGAGAAAAACAAAGAGCAAATAAGGTTAAGCACTGTGCCTGGTAATGCCCAGGATGCTAGAGGCCTGATTTGGAGTTCTACTCACAGGATCAAACTTCTCTTCGTCGTCTAAGCTTTTAGAACTCTCACTCTTTTCCTCTTCATTTTGTTGTTCAGCATATTTCAAAATCCACTCTTTCATGTTTACCTCCATATTTTTTTCTTCCTTTTTTGGCTAAAAAGAGAAAACATATATCTGAAAGATTGAGTTAGAAACAGATGCTGAAACTATTTAAGCTCTATTTTTATAAGTTCTTCACACTACAAAAACAGCAGACACATAAAAATTGCAAGTCATGTTATTTAATATATAGCAAAGGACAAGCAACTAAGCATTTTTAAAGAAGTCTAAACTTATAATCCCAGCACCAGGAAGTTGGGGTAAGAGGATTGTGAGTTTTAGGTCAGCCTGGGATACACAGCCAGTTCCCACCAAACACTAAAAAAATAAACTAGAAGAGCATGTTAGCCTTTTTGTTCTATTTTGTTTACAGAATAAAAAAAGAATTAAATAGCATCCTTGAAAACTATTGTTGTTACTGAAAACAGTGGTTTTATAAGGATAATGCCTCCCCAGATGTTTGATTATAAATATTCAAGAGAAATGCCCTAATGAACTATACCTCCCAGAGTCCCAGTATTCATGTTGTCATGAAGACCTTGGGGTTGGCCGTGTGACTTGCTTCAACCAATATAACATTATCAAGTATGATTAAAGCAGAGGTTTAATAAGCATATGTACATACAGGCTCATTAACCTTGAAATACAGCTAGACTTCCATACATGTGGGACCCACATTTGTGGACTCAGTCAGCTTAGATACTGAATATTTAGGATAAAGTTGTATCAATACTAACAGTGAGACTTTTTTGTTACTACTAATTCCCAAACAACACATTTAAACAACTATATATGTAGCATTCCCAATATTCCTGGGTTATAAATTATCTAAATACTCGAAGCATGAGAGGTTATATATACGGGGTTTGCTAAATATTGTATCTTAAATGTGTGCCTTTAGTACCTGAAAATTTTGGTATTCTTGGGGGTCCTGGAGTCAATCCCTTTCAATTATCAGGGGCAATTTCACTTGTTCTTGAGAGCCAGATGACATGTACCACCACATGTGAGGAAACCCAAGACAGTCACTGGAAAGACTAAGTAGAGAAAGGGACGCCTGACTGGTCTCCAGTAGAAGCATTAGTCACATGAGTAAAGGAGCCATTTTGGATGTCCAAGCACACTCCTTATAGAACAGAGGTATTTTCAGCTGACCCTGGCCCAGACTACAGAAGCATGAAAAATAAGAAACTTGATTTAAGCCACTACCTATTGGAATAATTTTTAACAATAAAAGGCAAGACAGACAGTGATAGAACAGCCTGGAAACCTGTTTACTTATTTTTGCTTTTTTGAGACAGGGTTTCTCTTTGTAGTCCTTGCTGTCTTGGAACTTGCTCTGTAGACCAGGCTGGCCTTGAGTTCATGCTAATTTTTCTTCTTCTCTCTGTGGTGGCTCCCATAGGCTCATATATTTGAATGCTTGGTCATTAGGGTACTAGGAGGTGTAGCCTTGTTGGAGTAGGTGTGGCTTTGTTTAAAGAAGTGTGCCACTAGGGAATAGGCTTTGAGGTTTCAGCTCAAGCCAGACCTAGTGTCACTCTCTTCCTGCGACCTACTGATTGAGATGTAGAACTCTCAGCTCCTTCTCCAGTACTGTGTCTAATTGCATGCTGCCATGCTTCCCACCATGACAATAATGGACTAAACCGCTGAACCTGTAAGCCAGCCCCAATTAAATGTTTTCCTTTATAAGATTTGGCATGGTCACAGTGTCTCTTCACAATAGAAATCCTACTAAGACACTTCTTTGTTGAGACAGGGTCTCACTATGTAGACAAGCTAGCCTTATCCTTGTGATCCTCTTGCCTCTGCCTTATGAATGACATAGAGGTGATGTGTCACTGACCCCAGCTTAAAGCATTTTTTTAAATAAAAAGAACTTTTTAGGGTGCGTGTGCGTGTGTGCGTGCGTGCGTGCGTGTGTATGCTACATGTATGTCTGTGGATGCCAGAAGAGGGTGTCAGATTCTCTGGAGCCTGAATTATAGGCAGCTGTGAACTGCCTCATATGGTTGGTTGCTGGGAACTGAACTCAGGTCCACTAAAAGAGTGGCAAGTACTCTTAACCACTGAGCACTTAACAACCTCTCCAACCCCCTAAATATTCAATTCTTAAATTACCTTAATCTTTGTGTCTTCTTCCTGCTTTTTGGTTTTCATTTGCAAAGGAGGTGAAAGAGTAGCCTGTATCTGTGGAGACTGGAATTTTGGCCTACTTTTAGGCTGTTGCTCTTCAAATTCTTGACTGAATCCTTCAGGAAGTGCATCTTAAAACAAAATGTATTGAGGATAAACAGGCATATTATATGCCAGACTCAAAAATGCTTATGAATACACATAAACCCATCAAGATTCAGAACATCTAATCCCATTCTCCCCTCATCTCCTACAAGAGAGTCTAGGAGAAGTCAGGTTCCACATACCAAATTAGAGGTGTGTGCCCTCATCAGACAACAGCTAACCCACTTCTAGCTGCTATTTATTTTACCTCACTAGTTAAGCTCTGAAATGTTCTTTAAAAAGATTTTAACCTACCTCACTTGATGGTTTTGTGTCTGTATCTGTACCTTAGTTCCTTACCAAAGGTTACAACCTTCTTCTACCAAACAAGCTTCTACCAAACCAAACCAAAAAAACAAAAACCCAAACCAAAACAAAACACAAAAACCTCCAGAGACAGAGACATAGCCTGTTTTAGAAAAAGAAATAATTAATGACAATATTGCTTACCATCTGAAAGATTTAAGCAGAGCCAATCCAAGGCAGAATGAAGGTCACCTCCATGCAAGAGTGTATTGGTCATAGCATCTTCAATATCCTTAGTTTTAAAGGAAAATGCCTGTAAAGCCATGTATAAGTCCTACCAAAGAGAAATATGAGTTACATTTGCTAATTTGATCATTGTTTTTAATACCTAATTTCATTTTCTCATTAATTTTAAGTCAAAAAATGGATACACTGTAATTTCAAGAATATTTTGTTTTGTGGAGTGCTGGGCGGTGGCTCAGTGGGAGAGTATTTTCTTAACATGTTAAAAACTCTGGCTCAATCCCTAGCACTCCCAAAATGAGAGAGAAAGGTAAAGGGAAGGAGGCTAGGAAGATAGGGAAATCCTACCTGGTAATTAAAGTTCAATGAGCTCATTAGAATAAGAATTTGGGAACTACAGGGTTTTTTTGTTGTTGTTGCTTTCTACTTTTTCTGAGACAGGGTTTCTCTGTGTAGTTCTGGCTATCCTGGAACTCGCTTTGTAGACCAGGCTGGCCTTGAACTCAAAGATCCACTTGCCTCTGCTTCCCTGGCTGAGATCAAAGTGCTGCCTGGGATCAAAGGTAGGTGCCAACAGGCCCGGCAGATTATTAGAAATTTCCTTATCCAGCTTTTCTTTAATTTCTCATGTGTCTGACTTATGTCTACTTAGTAGAAATGAACCCTTCCTTAATAATTTTAATAGTTATATACCATTGGGTAGATATATCATAATTTAAGTACACATTTTCTAAATGTAAATACTTAGGATTTTCTTTAGTGTTTTAACAAACATCTCTCCTATAAAGTATTTAAATTTACCTCTACAGCATATTTCAAAAGTTGAACAGAACTGGTTTCAAGCTTATTCTGATATTTACCAATCAATAACTTTAATGCTACAATCTGGCATCTTTCCAAGTCTCAAGTCTTTCATTTGAAAAGACTGAACAGATTGCGGGATTATCATGTCAGAGCACGTAAGCAAAATGCAGGGCAGAATGTAACATACAGGTACTCAATGATGTATCTTGGGAATGCAACTTACTGTGTATGTCACCATTTCAGTGTGTGCATTGAAATATCAGACAATTCTCTCCCTGTGCTTGTAATTAGAAACCATCTACATGTGATCCCAATGGAAGTTTAAAAGATTCACTTTTACACTTAGAGCTGTCTATAAATTATCCCCAATAAATGTACAAGATCCTAGATTCAATGCCTACCTCTGGAAGGAGGGAAAAAAATAGCCCCAGTAAGCCAGGTATTGCCAGACTAGGATACAGAGGGATCCTGCCTCAAAGAAAAGAAAGCTGGGTAGTGGTGGCACATGCCTTTAATCTCAAGAGACTGGTAGATCTCTGTGAGTTTGAGACCACCTTGGTCTACAGAACAAGCTCCAGGACAGCCAGGGCTATTCACGGAAAAACCCTGTCTTGAAAAAACAAAGAAAAGGAAAGAAAAGAAAAGTGGTGGTTATGGTGGAAAGTACCTGTAATTTTTTGGCAGAAAGTCTTCCAGAAATCACTCCCTTGTCATTATTTTGCTTTTTATGCTCATTTATCACTCCAATAATTCTTTGCTCTAGTTTATTATTAATTACCACCTGTTAAAGTCAAGAACATTTGCAGTAATTAGAAACTAAATTATCAAAATATTACAGGCAAATCATACAGGTTTCTTATATTTCTTCCAACAGACACAAATTTTAGCTAAAAGAAGATACAGTAAATAGCTTTATTTTTTAGATTACCATGCATTTGACCACAATCCTACAACATGAGACCATATTCTAACTGGGATATGGAAAACAACATCACATATCGCAAGGGGAAAAACACCTCTTATAAAGCCTTCCAGGCACATGTCTTAGATGACTCTGGGGTAGCCAGGTGAAGATTCCCAAGCCCTGCCCCACTGAATTAGAATCCTTAGGGTCAGAATCTAGCAATTTACCTTATGCAAAGCACCCCAAGCAAACAGTTTCACAGACTGACAACTAGACTAAAACTGACATGCCAAGTCAAAGTAAATCTCACCTATCCAATAGTAATAGGTTTTAAATCTTTGGCTCCCAGTTTGTTTCCTATTTTTGCTACTAGCCATTTACCTTCTATTGTTTAGCTATTTTAACTGAAAAATACACAAATGTTTTATCCACAAAAAATAGCTTCCCTTGATAACTTAACTAAATGTTATCTAGTGAGCACAAAAACATACTCCAGAAATTTAGTGTGGTCTAGGAGAATTGAAAGCTGTAATCCAGCATGACAATGCTTGAAGATACATTAAATGCTAATATCACCACTTAGAAATTATGAAGGACATCATGCAGGACAAAGAAAGCTTTACCCAGACTTTCCTTCATTTCTCATGATAGGCGAGAATAGGATATTATTAATATAAATTAAATATAATATAAATAAGATGTTGTTAATATAAATTACTATTAATATAAATAGAATATTATTTTTTAAAAAATTAAATATCCCAAATTTTCTTGTTATTTGAGGATGTAACTTTAAAAGAGATTTATTTATGTGTGTGTGTGTGTGTGTGTGTGTGTGTGTGTGTGTGTATGCCATGTATGTGTGGGTGTTTGCAGAGACCAGAAGGTGTTGGACCCCTGAGACTGGAATGACAGGTGGTTGTAGCTGCTTAATGTAAGTGCTAGAAAACAAGCTGGGTCCTCTACAAGAGCAGCAAGCGCTCTTAACTGCTTAAAGTCTCTGCACTTTCTTTAGAGAGATTGCTTCCTGAAATGAAGCAAAATGTTGCTTACTCACTTTCAAAATAGATTTGTCCAGATTTGCAGAACCACCGGAATCATTTGCAGAATTGAAACTATAAATTTTTGGACCTGTATATAATAGACAATAAACAGTCAGAGAATTTAATGATTAATATTCATTACATCATTTTCATTTTCCTCTAAAGGTTGCTAAATAGTAAACCTCTGATTTTAGCTCTTTCCCCTTACTTTACTAAAGAACTCAACCCTCAAAAATTTCAAAATAATGTCTATCTATATACTCAATGTCTATCTATATACACCTGAGATAAAATATTTTCATCTTCACATTTCTTTTTTTCTTTTCTTTTTTTTTGGTTTTTCAAGACAGGGTTTCTCTATAGCTTTGGAGGCTGTACTGGAACTCACTCTGTAGACCAGGCTGGCCTCAAACTCACAGAGATTTGCCTCTCTCTGCCTCCCAAGTGCTGGGATTAAGGCGTGTCCTACAACTGGCCAGATTAGATGTTCTTATGATTGACACCTAGCTGAGACATCTTGGGTGTTCCTAGGGGATGGTCAAATCTAATGAAAAAAATACTCTTTCCTGAAAATGGGATGCTGAGTGAGGAGACAGGTTGGAGAGAAGTCATCTTTTCATCTTGGCCTCAAGTACTAGCTTCTAAAGGCTGTCACAAGTCACCACGCTGGATGCCTACATACAGGGGAAATCTGTCCTTCCAGTTTCAAAGGCTGGGAGTCCAAAAACAAGGTTTATGTTCTCTCTCAAGGATTTAAGCCATAATCCATCCTATATTTAAACTGAGAATTTCATACATGTATACATTGAAATATGATCATAATCATACTCCCATTTCCCACCTTCAAGTCCCCCCTGTAACACCCCTAACAAGCTACCCTCCAAACTTCACATTTTCTTGCTACTTTGATAACCCACTGCGGTGGTTTAAATGAGAAACGTCCCCCATGGGTTCATGTATTCAAATACCTTTTCCCAGATGGTGGTACTGTTTCTGGAAGTTATGGAACCTTTGGGATAAGGACCCCTGCTGGAGGAAGTACATAGCTGGGGGTGGACTTTGAGGTTATATAGTCTCACCCCCCTTCATGTTCCTGCTCTTTGCTTCCCATGTGTTGATGAAAATGTGAACAGCACTTCTTAAACCTACCTCCTTGCTCTACTGCCTGCAGCCATGCCTTCCACCGTGATTTGTGTGCCTGGGAAAATGTGCACAGCATTCATGGGAAGTGAGAAGACAACTGCAGGAGTTGGTTCTCTCATCCCACCACATGATCAAGCTCAGGGTTGGTGGCTAGTGCCTTTACCAGCTGAGCCATCTGCTGGCCTCTTCTAGGTTTTGAGAAAGGTTTTCACTAAATGGTTCAGGCTAACACTTAACTCACTTTGTACTTGGGTTACCTTGAGCATGTAAACCTCTGCCTCAGCCTCTTGAGTAGCAGGAATAACAGGCCTCCACCAACAAGTCTGGCTAAAGACTTCTTTATTCTTAAAAATTATTGAGGATTCAAGTACATTTTTATTTACATGAATTATAACTATTGATTTAAGATTTATCATTATATAAATTAAAAAGTAAATTTTACTCATTAGTCATTAAAAATAAGGCTGTATGTTAATGCAAAGAAAACTTTAGCAAAGCGTATTTTCCAAAACAAACAAAATATATTTTCTATGTTTTGAAAAGCTTTCTTTGTTCTTGGTGCTGTTTCTTGGGCACATGTGGGCTTAGATAACAAATCTCACACATTTGGAGTTTTACTCTGCTTGGGCAGATACAACAAACTAGTAAATTTTTCTGGATGGCTTACTCAAGGGAAATTTATTTCTCACAGTCTGGAGTTCAAGAACTGTAAGATCAAGGTGCCAGCTGGATAGGTTTGATTCTGGTGTCTCTTGTCCTTTTATGTATGTTGTATGCTGTATGTTCACATGGTCCTACCTATGTGCTTACCTAGAGAAAGACTGTGTTCTCAGGAGGTCTTCTTACGAGGAAACTAATTCTACTGAACAGATCCTACCCTTCAACTTCATTGGCCCTAATCACTTCCTTACTGCTTTCACACACACATTTTGGGAACACACCCATTAGTCTGTACCATCTAGCTTGGCACTGAATCTGATATTATAATATGTATCACTGTAGACTCTAGAAAACTCTACTGCACAACTCATGGGAAAACAAAGCACAAACAGAGCACAAGTTTAGAACTCTTCCAGCATCAGTTTTAACATCACAGCTGTCCCCAGAAGTATCAGGAGTTCCTTGGGACTCTCTGAGCACACTTCTGAGAGCCGAGGGTTTATAGCAACAGCCCCAGAATATTACCAAGTATGGCCTTGTCCTAAAATGAATAATCAAGCCAATACTGGGGAAAGAGTTGAGCTTTTCTCGGGCTTGAGATTGTAAATTCCTTTACAAATACTGTTGGTTTGTTTGAATTTAGTAAATTGAACATACTGAAGCAAGTTCCCATTTGTCTCCTCCAACCTTTCACCTAAAACTTTCACTTATCTTACTTCCTTGCTTTCACTTCAAACTTCCAGTATAAATAAGAAAAGAGCTGACTTCCTGGAAAACCATCAGGTGACTCAAAAAATCCTGCAGTGGCATTTACAGCAAGGAGACCAGAACCCTAGATGAGTGTTTTCAGACTACAGTGTTCAAAGGGACTGAAGAAATGAGACCTTACTTACCATAGAGATACTAGCAATTCAACTAAGGTCCTCTCATTTGCAAATTCATCTCAATGAATTAACAATTCCTGGCACAATACAAAGTACAATAATAAAAACTCAAAGTTGTTTTTTATGATGCATTGTTATATCTACTAATGCACTATTAATGAGGTGCTGAAAAGTCTTATGTTCTCTTTTCCTCAATTTTCCTAAGAATGCTTAGGGAAAAAAATGAGTTCCAGGACAGCCAGGGCTACACAGAGAAACCCTGTCTCAAAAAAACCAGAAAATAAAACATAACAAAAAACTCCCTAAAACCCAGTATCTTATGCAAAGAATATGTGGTGAGCTTCAGACAGCCTAAACACACACCATTCCCATCAAAGCATGATACACACAAAGCCAGTGGCTATAAATTTCAAAGTTAATTACACACTACACTGTAATTAGAGGGAGTTTGTTTAAAGTCATTTGTACTGATAGGGAAGTATTCTGCTTTAAAGTATAATTATTAAAATGTATATAGAGCATATGAAGTGATAAATGAAAAACACGTTAAGTGAAATGGTTCATAATAAGTCATTCAATTTCTAAAAACTTAAGATTATACGGTACTACAAGTAGGAGAAAGCCTAAAGGATAAATGTGTATTGAATTTTTTCCTGTTTCAAGTGACATACTTCATTTCACATTTTGTTCTCCAAGGAACCATGGAATGTTTTTATTATTATGAATGTTTTTCAACATTCTAAAGCTTTTATAATTGAGTAGCAGAAAATATATTTATGATGATTTAGCTGCACAGCATGAATAGCTGGTTGTATAAAACTGCTTAGTAAAAATTTTAAATTTTTCATTTTTCATTACATGTATTTGTGTGTGTGTGTGTGTAGAGAGAGAGAGAGAGAGAGAGAGAGAGAGAGAGAGAGAGAGAGAGAGGCCAGTGGAGGTCAGAAGACAACTTCCAATGGTCAGTTATCTCTTCACCTCATGGTTCCAGAAATCAGTCTCAGGGGACTCAGGTCACCAGGCTTTAAATCTGAGCCATCTTGCTCCCCAGCACCCCACCCCCTTGCTCTACTTTTCAAATTGATGGTTCATTCCTTTCCTCTCCTGTCTGTCTATTTTCAGAATGTCAAGCTTCTAGTTTCTTACATGTGTCTAATCCATTCTCCAGGAAAAAGTGAAGGAGAAAGTAGCTATGTAAACTTGCTAAATTAGTAACTCTTTCTAAAAATTCTAAGTCAAGCTTGGTAGTGGGGCACATACCTTTAAATACACAGGCAGAAGCAGGAGGATCTGTGTTTGAGGTCAGTCTGATCTACAGAGTGAGTTCAAGGAAAGCCAGGGCTACACAGAGAAACCCTGTTTCAAAAACAAAAACAAACAAAAACAAACAAAAACTCTAAGTCAATAGTCATTGAATAAAGTTGGTTCCCATTCTTATGTCAAGTAAAATGCTTAAGATTTATGACAGCTATTTTTCTTACCACTTATTTCAGATGGTAGAAGTTAACAGAAATCTAACTGCAAGATGGTCAGTATGAAGCATCTCTAAGACAAAAGTATTACAAAGTCCAAATGTATAACCAAAAGGTCATGTAACAATGGACCACACATCTTCAAAGTGACTCAATTGATTAAAAAATAAATAAACCAGAGTCACTTCCATACTGTCTAATATTTTCTCAGAGTCCATTCCTCTTATATCTTGTTATCTTCATATCCACACCGAAGCTAATGCCCCCTTATCAGTAAGACATTTGAGTTAGCTCTAACTTCCTTTTCATTAGCCAAAAGATTCAAACAGGGACTCTGGTGGTTTAAAACAAAGATCCAGTATCTATCCTCACTGGGCTCATATTCTAGGGGAGTAATATAATAAGCAATTGATTACCAAAATCGGCTGTGAGCAGCAAGTGCCGAGTGCTAAGAGTGAAGAAAGGCAATCTGAATTGATAGGACCTATGAGAACACGTACAAATGGTAGCACTTTGGACCTGTCAGCTAAGAATTCAGAGCAGTTATTCTCCCCACTATTTAATACTACCACCAGCCCTCACTTCCCACTGAACTTGGTCTGGCCCCTTCTCAGGTTTTTGCCTCATTTTAATACTTTCTCTCCCATTCTTGCCACACATTCTTCCTAGACCAACCAGATTTGCTCCCCAGGGCTTTGAGCTTCTTGTTTTCTCTGCCTTAATATGATCTCCAGGAATCCAAACAGTTGTTTGCGTTATCTCAGCTTAAATGTTTTATATGGGAAGCCATCACTATTCCAAACCAAAACAGAAGACTCATCCAATTTTTACCAAGTCACTATTTTCTGTTTTTCATGAAATAGTCTGTTTGGTAAATTGTGCAAACTTGGAAGTAACCCCCCCCATTTCAATTTATTGGTGTTAATAACTCATCTGACTGTCTCCTCATCATTTATCTAAGGAATTTTTTTAATAACAAAAAAAAGCATTGAACTAGACATTTCAGAACTGTTAACACATATCCATTATATACTATAATTTTGTAAGCTGCATAAAATGTATAATTCCTCATGTAAGGGAAGACTTAACTATCATAAAGACTGATATAAACAACCATGGCACATGAAATATAGAGGTCAGAAAGATTTCTTTTATTAAAGCAGTGATATCTGAAATGGGTGGTATAGGGTTTTGGTGGATAGTTCTAGGGACAAATGACATCTCATTCAAGGAAAAAATTAGATATGATGAGGCCGAAAGCCAAGTTCTATTTGGAGCCAAGAAGACACCAGATTTCCAACGGCTAAAAATAGATTAGCAAAGACACTAGACTTCCATGCTAGATGAATTGTTTGATTTTAGTACAATTAATAAGGATGCTATAGAAGAACAAGGACATGATCAATCAAAGTAGCATTTCTGAAAGATCAATCTGTTGTCATGTTGGACTAACTGGAGGAGAAAAGAGCAAAACTCTAGAGACCTATCAAGAGGCTCTGTTGGTACTCCATGTGAATACTTAAAGGAGAATGTGAACAAAACATGACAAGTCAAAGGTATGTTAAGATTATACAGGGCTTGGCTACAGAGTAAATGCAAACCAAGGAAAGCATCAAAAGTAACCTAAGGGGCCAGCAAGATGGCCTACGCCATAAAGAAGCCTACTGCCAAGCTTGATGATCTGAGTTTAATCCCTGGATCAACTCTCACAAGTTGTCCTCTTACATGTACATGTGTGTGTGCACACATATACAAAATAAGTAGATGTTAAAACTATTTTTAAGCTGGGCAGCAGTGGCTCACGCCTTTAATCCCAGCACTTGGGACAGAGAGGCAGGCAGATCTCTGTGAGCTAGAGTCCAGCCTGGTCTACAGAGCAAGTTCCAAAACAGGCTCCAAAGCTACACAGAGAAACCCTGTCTCCCACTTGTGGTCTTCAGTACCTGCACACACACACACACACACACACACACACACACACACACACACGAATATAATGTAAGAAAATGCTGAAACGAAACAAGACAAAATGGCAGCCCACATATTGGAAAAAGATATTCACCAACCCCACATCTGACAGAGGGCTGATCTGTCCAAATTTTACAAAGAACTCAAGAAGCTAGTCTCCAAAACACCAAATAATTCAATTAAAAAGTAGGGTACAGAACTAAGTAGAGAATTCTTAATAGAGGAGTCTAAAATGGCTGATAGACACTTAAGAAAGTGCTCAACATCCTTAGCCATCAGGGAAATGCAAATCAAAACAGCTCTGAGATACTATCTTATTCCGGCCAGAATGGCTAAAATAAAAAACACCAATGACAATCTATGCTGGAGAGTATTTGGAGAAAAAGGAACACTCTTCCATTGTTGGTGGGAGTGCAAACTTGTTAGACCACTTTGGAAATCAGTATGTCAGTTGCTCAGAGGAATCAATCTACCACAATATCCAGCAATTTCCCTATTATGCATTTATCCAAAAGATGCACATTCATACAACAAGGACATCTGTCAATTACGTTCATAGCAGCATTATTTGTTATAAACAGAACTTGGAAAAAAACTACATTCCACTCAACTGAAGAATGGATGGAGAAAATGTGGTACATTTACACAATGGAGTACTACTCAATGGAAAAACAAAACAATGGAATCTTGAAATTCGCAGACACTAGAAACCATCCTGAGTGAGGTAACCCAGTCACAAAAAGACAAACATGGTATGTACTCACTCATATATGGATTTTAGACATGGAGCAGGGGATTGCCATCCTACAATCCCACTGCCAGAAAGTCTGGGAAACAGGAGAAGACCCTAAGAGAGATATACATCGTACCTTGGAGAAGGGGAAGGGGACAGGATCTCCTGAGCAGACTGGAAACATGGGGGGTGAGGAGAGGGAGCTGGGAGAAAGAGAATGGGAGAAGAGGAGGGGAGAGGAGAACATGGGGGAGCAGGAAGGTTGAGTTGGGACCAATAGAGGAGAGCAGGATGAGAGAAACCATAATAGAGAGAGCCATTATAGGTTTGAGGAGAGATCTGGCAATAGGGAGATTTCCAGAGATCTACAAGGATGACACCAACTGGCAATCTAAGCAACAGTGGAGAGGCTATCCTAAATGCTCTTCCCCTATAATGAGACTGATGACTACCTTATATGCCATCCTAGAGCCTTTATCCAATGGCTGATGGAAGCAGAAGCAGATACCCACAGCTAAACACTGAACTGACTCGTGGAACCCAGTTGCAGAGAGGGAGGAGTGATGAGCAAAGGGGTCATGACCAGGATGGTGAAACCTATGGAAACAGCTGACCTGAACAAGGGGGAGCTCTGGACCCCAGACTGATGGCTGAGAGGCCAGCATGGGACTGATCCAGATCCACCCTGATCAGTGGGTGTCAGTGAGGAGGTAGTAGATCAGTTTTTATCCCTGGCGTACAAATGGACTTTGGGAGCCCATCCCATGTGGAGGGATGTTCTCTCAGGGTTTGTTTCTAATTTAGAAAGAAAGAAAGAGAGAGAGGGGGAGAGAGAGAAGGAGGGAGGGAGGGAGGAGGGAGGAAGGGAGGGAAGGAGGGAGGGAAAAGGAAGGAAGGAAGGAAGGAAGGAAGGAAGGAAGGAAGGAGCTGAAATGTCTGTTTTGAGCTTGGAAACAAAGCCAGTATAAGAAATGTCAGTTGAGAAGTCATCTACAGGGCTGAAAGTCACTGACAACACAATGGCAAAGACACAAGTAAGGGCAACAGGAACCTCTCCTGGGAGGGCTGTAAAAAGGAACCACACTGTCAAGGAAAACACCTTGAGAAAGCTAACATTTTAGGACTGGAGGGAAAGGAAGACAAATCATATTATAATGACTATCAGTAACTTGAAAGAATTCAGTGAGATGCCAGTAGAGGTAGGGAAAGAAAAAGACCTTGGTCTGCAGCTTGTGACTGCTACAGAATTCTCAGGGGGAAATGTGTCACACTTGAAACCACAAGTCTAATAATAATTTGCAGTTACAAAGGACTACTTTCTAGGTATAAGTGTGGTACTAGCTTATTTCTCCAGTCTCATCCCCCCCACACCTCCACAATGCTTTTTCTATGAATTCTTTAAGAGCTCCAAGCCTTTCTTAACTCCAGATCTTTGGATTGTTAGTTTTTTCTACCATGCTTTACAGTTTTAACTTCAGTCCAGCCTCTAACTTCACCTCGACTGTCCCTTTTTTATTATTCTTCACTGTAAAAGCAGGAACACACTGTTAAGCTTTCTTCCCAGGCTCCTCTTTGTGGGAGCTTAACGACTAATCATGTTTGCATGATTAGTAAATTAGATTCCTAAGCTGCTCTAGAGATGATTTTGTCAGTCTTATTATTGATTTGTGTATAAACGCATATGCTTGCAAGTTTTTGTTGACGAAATACAAAAAGAACTAACAAAAAGAACGCAAACACAACAAAACAGTATATAATTTTGATGTTTTTGAAACTAGCCAGAATAGTAGCAGGTAGGTACTAGTCACCTTCATGTTATCAAATCAATCTGCAGAGTAAGCAAGAATGTAAGTCTTCAGGAAGAAGCCCAGGAATTTTACAGTAAGTTAATCCAGTGTTCAATGTGTAAAGTGCTGTTATTCTTAGGAAATAGGACTTCTAGAACACACAAGGGCACTGCATAGATGCTGAAGAAGACACGAATGAAGATCAGACAGAAAATAGCGCTGGCATCAGGAAAGGAGGACTTCACTGTGTACTACTTACTACTTTGCATTAGCGGAGTAGCTGTTTTGACAGCTCAGGGTAGATTCCTACCGAACAACAGTAGATGCCATTACTTTTCTCTTAGAAGGAGAAAAGGAGTCAGAGTGACAACGCCATGCTGTAACGGAGTAACTTTCATAACTTTAATGGCCAAAGGCCCTTAGACCGACCTACAAGGCCACTCCACCGACAGCTAGCAAGCTCGTGCGTGCAGGATAACTAGTTTGGCTCTCATCAGCACGGCTGTGACTTCTTTGCTGCACAAGGAGCAAGGACTGAGGGTAGAAGACTGGGCACTGGACCAAGCGTACCTTGCTTGACTCGGGGCTCCCGGGTGCCGGTGGGTACGGCGGGCGCCGGCCTGGCTACGGGCTTCTTGCTCTGTTCCCCAACAGCTCCGGCCTCGGCACTTCTGGCTCTGGAAGCCGACACCGCAGCCCGCACCGCCGCAGCTCCCGGAGCCTTGTGTTTCTTGTTTTTGCCGCCCATGTTTCAGCTGCAGGAGAGTGTTCTTCCAGATCCAGGTCCCAGCTGCCACACAACAGAAGCCGGAGAGCGACTCACGTTAGCCGGCTCTCACGCCTCCACCCAGCCTCCTCCATCCGGGCTCCTCGGCTGAGGCTCCGGCCTAATTGGTCCGTTTTACCTGGCTCCGCCTCTTGGCTCCCGGGAGCCCGCGGCATGTCTGGAGTGGCGAGCCACTTATCGGTGAGTTTTTAGTCATCGAATTGCCCACCTCGCAGTGGTCGAAAAAGAAAAGAAAGGGGCAAAACCCAGACTAAAAGGGGAAAAGTCACGCAGGCTTTAAGACTCGATTATTTTTGATGCCTACGGGCCACCGTAGAGTCTCTATTTGGCGTCACTGTAGGTAAAATCGTGAGGCCTTCTGGGTAGGAGGGAGATTCGGTCTCAGAGCTCCGAAAGATGGCGGACGCTTTCGGGGACGAGCTTTTCAGCGTTTTCGAGGATGATTCGACCACAGCAGGAACCAAGAAAGACAAAGACAAGGAGAAAGAGAAATGGAAGGGACCGCCAGCGTCCACAGACAAGGCCGGGTAAGGAAGACTTCCAGGCTGTTTTTGCTTTTCCTGTTTTGGGTGCCAAGGAAGGAGGCCCGACTCAGACGAGGGGCACAGAGAAGTGGATATTTGTTGAGTGGAGTCCGGAGCTGAAGGAGTTTG